AGATAATGAGAATTGGGAACGTCATATTGGCTAAAACATTGCGAATCAAGGACCCAACATTATTTCGTGGGGGAGGATATTGTTGAAAAGTATATGATGCAAATTCTAAATATCAGTAGTTTCACTACACAACCGACATGCTGATTGTATGCAATTCTAGAACCCAGGTGAGTCTGTTCCAATTTCCGTTGTTAATTCTAATACTAATGAGTGCATTCTAGATAATACAGAGTGTACATTCAATACACCATCGGACAGATACACCTACAATTCAATTCGAGCTGTGGCGGATGTGATGTTTAAATAAATCAATGACTTCTTAGTATTGATGACTGTTGTAATTTTGAATTCAAAATACAATACATTCGTTCGGGCTCATCTAATACTTCTTGACTACATTGCGTTATTCCGGGGATTACTAGTTCATACTACAATTCAAATACTACTAATTATCATATGCTCTTACCTTGTTTAAAATATTGGGTATCACTTGCTGTTGACCACAACTTTTCCTACTAAATCAACATATTTGACTCACTAAATTATTAGAAATCTGTTTTTTTTTTGTTTTATACGATTCATACCTGTGAAATAGGCAGTAAGATGCTGGGAAAATAAACCAGGATAATAACTAACTGATATGTAACTTTAGCTTTTAAAGTGATCTAACTTAAAATGTGTATGTGCCTTATTTACAGGAAAGTGTAAATATAAAAAAACGGTTAAGCGCTGAGTCGAATTTACTATCGAAATCTTAGGGCATACTTTAACAATCATCGTAATTACAAATGGTTTGGTTTCTACTTGTTTGGTGGGTTGATTATGTTTAAGTGCGAGTTAACTAGTCAAAAAAACTTACAATGTCATGTAATATATAAACTTATTCACTTTAACATTGCATATTAATCATCACATCATTAACATTTTTATGTTATTTTACAAACAATCCTGAATTCATATGCTATAATTTCAAACGATATACTTAATTTAAACCTGGCCACTCTTTTCATTATTAATTTGAATATATAATTATAGAACCTGAAAAGAATTGATTGCAGAGAATATTCTTCGTTCATTTCTGTGTTTTAATATGGTGGGAACTATTCAGTGATTATAAGAAAGTCTATTTGTCATTTGATATCAAGACTAGTTTTTTTATCGTTATACATTCAAGTTAGCTTTCTTGACAATTTCTTAAATAGGTAATCATATAAGTTTAGACATCACTGTTTCAAAACATTACATTTTGATAAACAATGAAGAAATCAAAATAATCTAGATAACAATAAAGAAATTAATGAAGTTTGTTGTAACAGCATGTAATTGAGAACAAGAAGTATATGTGTACAGTAGTGTATTTTTTTGAGCGATAATCAGTGTATCATCCAAGAGAGGTTCAGAAACCGGAAATAAAGGTCAATAATGGTAATCGTACAAGTTGTGAGAACTAATGACAAAAATGCTAATAATAACAAAGACTAATTACACAACAAGTCTATGTTAGTTATCCCCTCACTGCTCCCCCCAAAGGTCCGAAGGTAACATTGGTGTGCACAACAAGTGAGGATGTAAAAGAATACATGCACACAAAAACAAAGTAAATATATGTAATGCTATTTTGTGGGGAAAGAGATTGCGCTAACAGATGTATGTTACGGAATATGACATGCGTGTTAATGATACAAAATATATTAGAGTACAGAGTAATGTATATATAGTTGGGCACTACAGAAGCGTAAGTACGATTGATAATGATGTCTTAGGTTGATAATGATAATAACACATGGAACTATTGGTATATTCACAATAAAAGTTTTTTTCAATTAATTAATGGAAGGCAATCGAAAATTCACTTGTTTATAATTATGACAAAAATAAAATAATATTACCAGACGAGTAAAAGTGTGACTAATGGTGCATATATTGTGTGGAAAAAAAGATAGTTTTTTTATTAGTGAACCGAATGGATTGAGTATTGTATTATATGCCATTTATTACTTAATTTCTCGTCGTTGTCCCATTTCGTTGTAATTAACTGTGTATGTTCTTTATCGGAAATAGTATTTTCTTATTGTTTTTGGTCATCGCAGAAATCAGGTTTTACTCTATCTGTCGAGACAGTTTCCCTCTTTCCAATTTTTTAATGACGGAGTGATTGGTTGTCCGTTAAACGACTCGGTATGGTCCTTCATATGGTTGCTTTAACGGTTTTCGAACGAAATCGACCCGGACAAAAATAAATTTGCACATTCTCAGATATCTGTCTAGGTTGTATCTGGCGTCTATACTCAAATGGAGCTATTGCTTTTTATGTGATCGTGTGTGTATATTGCTTATCTCATTCATCATATGTCTGTAACTTATTTTTCTTTGACTATAAATATTGATTCACACTTGGTTAAATCTAGTTGACTTACATACCGTCTCCGATTCAGTTCGCTTCTCTGTCTCCTCTCCGCTTCTCTGTTCAGACCAATGACTGCATGAAATATACGTACTCAAAATTAATTCTCGTGTTCGACTTATTTAATTTTGTTATTCACTAACGCAAGTCGATGATTATATGCGAGGGTTGGCGTTATGAATATTTCAATAACGTTCATCACGCGACCTAATTAGAGTCAGATATCGAGCCACTAAAGAAAAACATAATCGGTTGATGGGATTATGTTAATATTTCCAAATATTGACTCACTTTTAAATCTTTTCAAAGATCGAAACATACAGAACCTACTTCAGAAGTCCACATTCCAGAAACTAACTTTATTAGTTAACGTTATATGTCTTGATTCAATTACTAGGATATTTTTTCTGCTCTAATCTACATTTTTTGTTGAGTTAGTTTTTACACTGACAAAATTCTTTAGTAAATGTATCTTACTATTTAAATAGCATCTACCAGTTATGAATTGGGATTGCTGATATCTTGCTATTGTTACTAATGATATGACGGTAACAAAATGGACTTGTAAATTAATATGTTGGAACGGATAGACATGAAGTAAAAATATTTCAGCAAAATAATATGAACTAATAAAAGCAGTTTTAAAGGGCTTATGTTGTTCATTGAACAGATGCCCCTGACGCTTTTCTAACTGTATTAACCAATCATGCAATGCATCATGTCTTTTGGAGATGGGATGTTATAAAAAAACACTTTTACTATCAACAATAGTATACATTCCGAATTGTTCAATGAAATGAGACACTTATACAGAATTTGCAAGTTTCATATGTTTATGATGGAGTGAAGATACTTTCTGCTCTATACATCCTATATTATAACCAAACACTTTCCTCTGGATTGGATTTCATTACAGTTAGTGTTAGGTAAAATACCTCTGTTTGTTCCTTAACTTCTTCACTGACTGTTCCATTAGAAGCTCTAGTAAGGAACATATGTATGTTCACCTAACAGTCCACTATAATTAATCACACCATGCGCAAACATTCAGATCATAATATCTCTTAAACAATGTCAACACTATCAATGGTGATTGTAGAAAATGTCGTCATTTGTAAAAGAAAACAATAATACAGATTCGAATGCATCTATGCTTCAATGGAAAAACTCACAGCATACACCTGAACCGAACTATTATATGCCTGTTCAAATCTGTTTGACTGAGAATTCAACTAAATATGTTTAGGATTACTGATGTTTCTTGGATACCCTTCTAAGGTCCAGGCAACTCAACTAGACCATCTCAGACCACTTTAGATCAACAATAAAATAATGAGCTGTTGCTCGTGTCATAACCATACTTGCAGACTTCATATGTAGGTATGAAACTTCCGAACTGAATAATGAGGGTGGAGAATAAGTTCAGAAGAGCAAAATAATATCGCAGAGACAAAGGAATTTGATCATTAAGTTGTTTATTTGAATCTCATTGCCCATCTAAATAATTCAAACCAAGAAGTGGTTATAGTACAACATCCTTCTACCTAATACACAGCAGCCAATGGATATACAATATTGATATATACAACACATAATGATCGTCTTCAAATCCTGCCTTTTTACCCTAGTACGATCTGTCCTACGAAATTGAGACAATACATTCGCTGAATGCCTTTAACCTATTTACACATTATCGAAGCCATTTAGTATAGCATCTACTAGGAAGTGGCAAAACACTTAACTCAGCTTAATTATATTGATTACTTAAACCAGTCAACCTGTTAATTCCGTGAACTGTATACTTAAATCAACTTATTGATTAATTAATTTTAACTAATCCCAGCTCAACACATTTTAATTTGTCTATTGACAGGGTATTTGAAATGATATATTTCCTGTATATTTTGGTGTCGTTGTGATCAGTGTTTAGTGAATAAACAGATTTCCATCTATAGCCTTGCATTCTGTTTAGCATTGAATCATTTTAATCTTGCTACACTGAACAAGTAGAAAATAGTAATTTATTCCGTAGTCATAACAAACGGCCATACCATCAACAAAACTAATATTTTACTGAATCATTACAACGCCCGAAATTGACTTGTATTTAATGAGGAATACCTAAATATTCCACGTTATTTGAACCACTTAGATAAGACGTTCTTTACAATTTAATGTGATCGACCTAGTAGTCCATCACTTCTTAACCGTTTTTCAAGAACATTGACCTAAGAATGATAGCAATTATAAATATGAAGAAAAGTATTTCGAAATTAAACCCTACTTTTCTGCGTTAGCATAAACCCGGTCATTGAAATATTGATACCATATTGTAATATACAAACGAACCATTCGAGGAAAAACGTTTCACTGACTTTAGACAAATCAATGTTTCATGAACCCTCTAGTTTGCTGCGATCTTGATAAGTTCATTACAAACATATTTATTTTATCTTGTATAATCTGTGATCATCACAAATACAAGAGTTTGGCCATGACACGCACCACGTCGATACATCTTCAAGATCAAAATATAGTTTCGTTTTTGTCTGGTTGGGTATTGATAGTTTTTCTGTCTGATGGGTTTTCATGTAACAGACGATACGTTTAGAACCAGAATAATAATAGTAATGGTCTAGACCACACCATAAACGAATGATATATTGTAAACCAACAACTAGCCAAGTTAATTTAGATCAACTCATTGACTAATGACTAGAATACTAGGTTATGTAGCAAACTCAATACTGTATCAATTTAGAAGACTAGGTTTCTGACTTTTTAAGACGAATTGGAATTTACTTACCATGATTAATTGCCTACAACTTTTTCCCTGTACAAAGACATGAAGTGGTCAAGAGCTTTTGTTGAAGTACTTTATTTGGCATACAATTAAATAAAAAAGCTGTTGAAGTAAATTTCAGTCACAATCATTGTAGGAGAGTTGACGAGACTACTTGGTTTCCTGAACCTATGATAGACGAAGCGGGTTCTAGACTCCTAACGCAGTGATTGAAACTCGAAATTTAATTATCATCAACGATAAATCGATAAAGGAAACACTTTAAGATTAGATCATTTATTTTATTTGCATGTACATCAGTCGGATTCACAGAAACATAGTGTTGAATTAAGTTAAGGGATGTAACAGTACAAAATACACTCGGAAATGCTAGTCTAAGATTTTTAAAGGTGTTAATACTATCCAACACTTCAGTTTATTTTTTCTTTAGAATATCCAGACCAGCGTCAAATTTAGGATCAGCAACATTGAGGATTAAAGAACCAGAATGTAAAAATGCACGATTTTGAGACTGAGCAACCTAAAAAAAGGAAAATGTAACTCTATTGTCACGATTTTAAACCTTTAGTTTGAACACAGTTTCAATACATTTGACCAGAAATATGAAAATGCATTACTATTAACTACGTTATACAGCTTTAAATTAAAAAATGACAGACAACAAATTTATTACCATGGATACATGTACATAAGTTATGCTCCGGTAAATATATTGAACGAACCTAAGCAGGACTTGATTGACTGATATAACAGTTTGGTTTTCTGTTATGTCCCGATAAGAATAATGAATAGTAACTTTGGGATGCATTTATGGACCAATATTATGCATATATTTATCGTATAATTGCTAAGTAACTAAACCATTCATATTCGTATCCCTCTTATCATGAGATTTATTTTGAACTATAGACTATTGTTGTACGATTTACCATTCATGAATTTACACCCAGTCTATTGATTACTGTTCTCCTTATTCACAGCCACATTTAGCTTAATCTTGTACAAATGTTATTTTCTATTTTGTTGGTACGATGTGGTCTGTCTGTTTTGTATATAAACTCACTATGTTTGAAATATGATTCATACCGCAGAGGCTGTTCTGGACTTTACTGGCTGGGATAGGCAGATGCAGGACTGATAAGCACTGAAGACTGCTCGTACGGCTCCGGGTGTCACTGTTCCAATCGATAATTCGCTGCTCTCTGATTGGCAGTCTTAACAAGTCATACATTAACTGACCATCCACTCGGCCACAAGTTATAACATTTTCAAATATTTAGGATGATTCTAAGTTGTATGTACATGGTAATCAGTAGATTGCATCGTCATAATTAGAATCATGAGTAGTCAGGGCTGCGAAACTTCAAACAATAATAATAAAGGAATGGAAAGAAACCATCTTACGTTGTTTCCAAAGATAGTAGAGGGTTTTGAGAAGGTAGTTAAATAAAACACCAAAAATTGCCTCAATGTTAATATTTAAGATTCGTGAATACATCTTCAAATTAATTCAGCTCAAAAACCAGTGATTTCGCATACATTTCAAAAGCTAATAACTGTCTATGTTGGAGAAGAGATTGTGACGATGGGTTGCGTAAAACTCAAAATACAGAATCTGAATTATCTCTATGAGGTTGATTTCATAAGTTTATTTTATACGAACTCACTAGTTAACAAAACTGAATAATTGGAGCATGAGAAGTCGAATCAAAGTAGGTCTTACCGTTCGAGCAATCTGAGTAGCCGCTTTTATTTTCCGAAGCTTAAGATATCCAGGGTTTTGAGAAAGGGCATCACCAATCAGTTTGGCAGCTTGAGCCTCACCTTCAGCAGTAACTATCTTTTGCTGACGTTCTTGTTTCGCACGTTCTACGAGGAACTGAGCACGCTGTGCTTCTTGTAAAGCAATCTGACATATGAAGTTATAACAATATACGGATATTTAAAATATAGGATAGGAAATATTTATGAACGACTAAACAGATCCGGATAATAGACAATCAACGTCCTATTAATTGAGATCGGAATAAAAAGATATTAGACCGGACATTTTAGTTAGAACATCGAATTACGAATAACGTGCTAAGAATAGTTTGATGTCTAAGCTTATTGTAAACTCTTGAAAAAAGTTTGATACAGTGGACCATGATGCAGAGATTACCTGGCTGTTGCTGTAATGTCATTTGCTTAGGTCAGTCATGTACAACATGGAACCTGTCACATAGGTACAGTCGTTCAATTTGCCAAATCTCATTAGCACAGCAAGATGAAATTGTTAGGGCAAATCCCAGAGTAGCAAAGGTAACAACATAATGAGTAGTAACAGAAAAGACTAGACATCAAAGACGAGAGTTGAGAAAATAAGGAAAAGTAATTTAGGAACTTCGACCCCAACCAAGTATTCTGGGCCTACTTAAATGGCTTAATCAGTTAGTGCCTCCATAGACTGGTGCTGTTTTGGTTTGGCTAACCCTATCTTCATTACAACTTACTCCTACACTACCCATCATCACACGTCAAGGTAGATAGTGGTTAGGGGTATGTAGAACATTTGCCAATCACCTTGATTAATGAAGATTTACTACCTTATCAATCGATTTGCCATTCTTAATACTTTGAGTCTAACCTCAGAATAGCTGACTTGATGGTCCCTTAATATACGATTAATGGTACGAAGTCACCTATGATCGAGCACTTCTAACCCACGAATATCAGTCAGCTACAACGTAGGACCAGGCACACATATGCATCGGTCCAAGTTGCCATACCTCGTTAGCACAACAAGATAAACACCGGATTCATAGAAATAGTTAATTTAGTGGTGGTAGTATATAAAAGATAGGTTGTATATATATAGTAGCATAGTATAGGAAGAAAGAAAGTTATGAAGCAATCTTAATCTTAAGGTTTAAGGGAAGATAAAGAGTGTATACATATACGCCATTGTGATCGATTCTGAGCCATGTCACCCAAAGTCTCCAACCATTGGTTACGATAGTCACGCGGACCCCAACCTGGTAGTCTGCATCTACCAACATGGCTTAGACTAGAAGTTAGTGACTTCAAGCACTGATGCCATGTTTTGGTTTGGCCGCCCCTAACTCTTTTCCAACCATCCCCTTTACTAGTCAACATAGCACGTTGTGGTAATCGGTGTTCAGGCATACGTAACACTTGGCCTAACCATCTCAGTCGATGAAGATTCATCACCTCATCAACTGATTTACCCATGAATATCCTTCATTACCAATGGTCATGTTCCATATCCATGAAGTAGAACGAGACGAACTGCTGGTCACTAAACCTGTTCTTCAGTTGGCAGACGGATATCTTGCCTACGCCAAAAGTGAGGAAAGTTAGCAACGTCAATCAAGATTTCTGAATTCCAGCCAAGATTTTGTCAGCCACCTTATTACGCCGGATGAAACATGGAGATAAGTTTAGTGATTGGCACGGTCAACTAAATGAGTAAAAAGTACAAATTGATAGTGTGATGTCAGGTGTACTAGTTGCGAAAAGAATGAAGACTTGGACCAATGTTTCATAATAGTAGATCAACGAAATAATAACATTCATTAAGAATTATTAAAGTTACGTGATAAGTGTTTAGATAACCAGACAGTGAAGCAAATACCTGAACTTTAATTATTTTTGTGGAGCATATATATTTTGGCACTCCTTTGTGCCGATGTTTGTTTTAAAATAAGTAATGATTAGACTTCAAATTGGATAGTGTCAAGAGTGTAAATTTTGAGGATCATAAGGAACTAACATTAAATTAAACCACACAAAATGATTAGAAGCAGCTGCAGTTGCATAAGAAATATACGGGACTATTTGATGTGTTGCTTCAAGTGAGCCACTGAGAATGAGACTTTATAGATACATAATCTCAAAACTTTAAAGCCGCGATTCGAAACATAAGCCTTTGTCGAGATAGAATGGAAAGTTTATTTAGATAAAAGTACTGTGATACAATGTGCATTGCAATACTCAGTCTTGGAAGCCCAAGGACTTTGAAGATGTCACAAATCAGCGACACACTTACGCTTCGATAACTAGTTACGAATAAAATATGCTGAAAGAACCTGTGTTGGCTTAAACTGTCAACTGGACACTAGGACAGTGGAACAGGAAATCAACAAGATGAAAAGATAATGCAAGGTATTATTTTTTGCACTGAAAAGTCGAACATAAGGAATTTAGCCTGAAAGGAGCCGGATCTAAGGATTAAGAGAATGAAATATCAAAATGGAAACTTAGACGAGTGCATAAAACTGTGTTTGTTTCTGTATCATGTCATTATTTTATCTATTTATTTAAACACATATATATTGGTACAAAAGGGCACCAGATACATATGCGCCACACAAAATAATGAAAGTAGGAAGAGAAGGGATGGAAAGATAAGGCGGACTGAAATGTACAACCAGAAGAACCCTCAGTTATAACCACTTTATGAAGAAAGTAAAAGAAGGTTACAGCAGCATTGCCACCGGCTTCTATTCTGAGCCATATCTGATATCGTCTCTGCGCCCGAACACACGATGCCGAACCTCTGCATTACTAACGTAGTGTTGCCACTGTATGTCAGCAATCCGTCGGAGACAACGATAATCGAACACAGAGAGACGTCTAGCATCTTCAACTCGGAGAGGCCAGGCTTCACAAGCATAGAGCAAAACTGCCCTCACCGACGCGTTGTAGATCCGGCCAGACTAACACCACGAAGGCGCCAAAGATGGTCCAGATTGTCACAAGCCGCTCTGGTTTTCATTATACGTGCATCAATCTCATCACTCACGCCACCACCAGCACTTGTGTAGCTACCTAGATACACGAATTTCTCAACTACTTCAATCTGCTCACCATCCAGGGTGAGTACAGGATGAGAATCCTGCCAGTCTTGTAGGAGTACTTTGCACTTGGAGGGTGCAAAGCACATGCCGTACCTGCGGACACTGATTGCCAACTGATTGAGTGCGGATTGCATGCCTTGGGCATTATCGCACAGTAAGACAATATCATCCGCATACTCGAGGTCGAGAAGTCGTTCTCCAGGCAACGTATCCACACCGCCATTACTTACATCCATCAGAGCTGTTTCCAGGATGTCGTCGATGGCAAAGTTGAAGAGGAATGGTGAGATTGAGTAACCCTACCTGACCCCACTGCTCGAATTGAACAAGGGAGAAAGGTGGTTGTATGCCCTCACTCTGCCTGAGGTGTTCGTATACAGGGCCTTTAAGATGTTAATGAACTTCTCAGGCACACCCTTCTTCAATAGACAATCCCAGAGAACAGTCCTGTCCAACGAATCGAAGGCAGCCCTGATATCAAGAAACACTACGATTGTTGGCCTGCGATAAGTATGACGGTGTTCTAACATTTGGTGGAGGGTGAAGATGTGATCAATGCATCCTCGACCAGAACGAAAACCAGTCTGCTCCTCGCGAGTCAATCGTTCTCGGGTTTTAAACAACCTACGAAGAATGACAGAAGCCAATAGTTTGGACGCAAACGAAAGTAGATTTATCCCCCGATAGTTGTTACAGGAACAACGTGAACCCTTTTTAAAGATAGGGACGACTATCGACTCATTCCATGATGTTGAATACTTTCTTGCTCCCAAACCTTTCCAAACAACACCGTCAGTTCCTTAGCCAGAAAGTCATCACCATCTTTAAAAAAGGCCGGAGGTAAGTCATCTGAGCCCGGTGATTTGTAGCGCTTCAAGAGTTGGAGTTCCTTGCGGACTTCCGCCTCTTTTGGTGGATCAGTCGTCACCGGCCATGGGGGGCAGGACAAACTGGTCAATGATGCCGGAGCAGCAGGCCAGTTGAACTGCCCTTCGAAAAATTCCGCCCATCGTCCAAGACGTCGAGAGATGTTAGTGATTGGCATCCCATCATTCTCGTAGATTGTTTCACTCACACCAGACTTCTTGCGGCCAGTGGCTCGGATGAGTTGGAAGAGCTTCCGGCAGTTACCAGATGCAGCTGCTGCTTCCATCTCATTAGCACGCTCCGACCACCAGGCTTCTCGGTCCTTACGCAAGCTTTGCACGATTTCATTACGTAACAGCCTTCGTTTGTGGTCAAACTCACGGTCACCCGGAGTAGACCGACGGGCTTCCATCAGTTGTAAGGAGCCAGAAGAAGCCCAGTGCTTGTAAGCGGGACGTTTCGCGAAGCCGCAAGCGGCTTTACTCGCCATTTTCATGGCGTCGTGAAGATGCAACCAATGCTCATCTATACTTTTCGGTGGGATGGTAGCTAGCCTATAGGCTAGCTCCGCTCGATACTTACTTGCAACAGATGTTGCAGCCAGTTTACTAACATCGATCCGTTGGTGGTGGTCAATCCTTTGGCCACTGAAAAGTAAGGTAAGATTGGCGCAGACCAGGGCATGATCAGAGTCCAGATAGGTACTCCAAAAGGAACGGTAGTCTTGTACACAACCACGCCAGCGGTAGCTGATCGCGATGTGATCAATCTGAGTTCAGGCTTGAGATGCAGAGGGAGAACGCCAGGTGGCACACCGGCGATGACTGTGCCGGAAGTTAGTGCTATCCAGGAACAGGTTGTGGTCTGTGCACAGTTGCAGCAAACGGTCCCCGTTATCTGTCCTGCGATCAACAAGTCCCCATAGGCCACCTAAACGACTCTCTTCTGTGCCTAGACGCCCAACCTGAGCATTCAAGTCTCCGGCTAATACTACAATATCTATCGAAAGCGCTTTCTGGAGAAGAACTGTTAGCTGGTGGTAAAACTCATCCTTGATTGCATCCGGGCTGCAATCTGTCGGAGCATAGGCGATGACGAAAAGACACCGTTTCTCACGCCGATTTTTTCTCACTTTGATGGAACTTTCTAATCTAACAGCACATAACCGACTGTTAATGGGGATCCAATCGATTAGTGCTGCCTCAGCTCTAGCGCTTAGTGCAACACCAACGCCTACAAGACCAGACGAAGATGCCACAGAGTCCCCGGATAAGCGCACGTGAAACAAGATTTTCGAAGCGACAGATGGAGAGCGACTTTGTAGTACTTCACTAGAGTCTTGAATACGGGTCTCGGATAGACAGCAAACATCAACATTAAGACTTTCTAAAGACATAGCCAGCCCCATCTGCATTAGTGTGCGAACGTTGAAGGAAGCCAGCTTGAACGGCGTACGTGGTTTCAGAAGGACTGCTTCAGTATTCGTAATCGGTGGAAGCATTCACTTTCAACCAGACAGTGACTGGAGATCGTTTAGATAGGACAGAGTTTCCACCATGGGCGAGCTACTGCATAAGTTGGAAAGGAAGGATACACAATTTGGGGATAAAGGGAGTGAAAAAGCGACGCAGTAAATAATAGTAATAATAATAATAATGTAAATTGTCTTGCTTCTAATATGAGCGAGAATAGTATCGTCAATAGAATTCATCATTTCATTTATTTGTGTGTGGGCTGTTATACTGCCCGGGTACCCAAACCGAAGCAGGTGGTTTTCTTAGGGGGCCACACCCCGAGCCTTTGACCTGAAGGTCTGATCCACAAGGCAGTGGAGCATCGTGAGGAGATGCAGTCCCATGGAAGCCGGTGACCAACAGCAGGTTCATTCGCCATTCGTTCCATCAGAATACTGGAGCCCATGTGCACCATTGGTTTGGAATCAGGGTTTTCCAACTCACCTAGGTGGACTTGTCTTGTCCACCAACCCGGATAAAGCGCCGGACATTCGCTTTTCGTCCTCTCACTTTCGTAAACAACAGTAGTGCCACGAGAAGGCAGTGAGTAGGACTTCCCTGGCAGAGGCTATATATTCGCGTGGCCATATGAGAGCATTTCGAGAGGGAGAGTGGACTGTCCCCACTCTCGACCGTACCAGGGCATTTGGGGGTATCATGTCATTTAGTGTGTTGGTTCAATTCGAGCCTACATATTCAGAAACTAATGTTCATGGATTAACATTTTGGCTTCAAAGCCTTGCAGCGGTCAGAAATAAATAGCACATGTTCATAGCTTTATCAGTTTAGTTATCGTTGTCTTAAACGATGCGCCTAGCTTTCACGTCACTCGTTTGTTAGTTCCATGGTAAATGTGCGATTCTTTAGTGATATCTACCACTCAATGCTTGAGGTTTTTAAGATGGTTTTACTTGACACAACATGAGCAAATTAGGGGCTCTTGTATTTTACGAATACTGTTCACAAACCATCATTGTCACTGATTGTACTTACAAAGTAGAAAAGGAGAGGAAACTTTAAAAAAGGGGATGTAGAGCAATCGAAAACATCACAGTCAAAGTACACTAGGTGGGGACAATTCCCCATAAACCAATGAACAAAGGTGGGTTTACCAGTTCTTATTGTATAGAAATATTTACATGATTGCGTTAAATTCGTATGCCATTTTTCTACGCTGACTACAAAATTTGAACTTGCATTTAGCTTATTGAAAAAGAAAATATCCAAACATCAAGTGAATAAACAAACCTGTTTAGCTTCAACAGCAGCAGAGTAAACTTGTGAGAAAGTCAAATCAGTGATGGAGACATCATCAACAATTATGTGGAAATCACTAGCTCTTTCGACAAGCTGTTTGCGAATCAACAAAGACACTTGCTGGCGCTGAGTAATTAACTGACTAGCATTAAATTTAGCAACGACTGCCTTCAGAACTTCATTGACTATAGATGGTAAAACTCGTTCATCATAATCAGTCCCCAGTGTACGATATATATGTGGAAGCTGTGACACTTCAGGTCGAGACAATACGCGCAATGTGAGGTTAACCGTTTGAAGGTCTAAAAAAAGAACAATAAATGAGTGAACGGAAACGCGACAAAACGGCAGAAGCAAAACGAATTCATCACAAACTAGAAGAGTGAATCGATAAAAGTACAGGCACAACAGCAACGGATTTTAATTGTCCTGGAACTGGAAACAAATTCATCACGTTCACTTATAGTAACCGACAAAGTGAATAACAAATGAATAAGCCAACCTAAAAGGTTACTGTTAGACTTATCTGCATGAAGACATGGCTGAAACTTTTGTTTGACAACGACCAAAATAACCAAAGCTCTACATGTAACCACCAACCCCAGAAACTTTTGGTAGAGAATTATGTGATTTGCAATGGACTAAGTTATCGAAAGTCGTGTTAGCCGCCTAACAGTGAAGTCGTCAGATCCTTCTAAAGCCTAGCATCATTGATAGAAAGTAACAACTTAAAAGGTATTTGCTGAGAAAGGCCTAGGAGCAAACGTCTTCCTTCAGCATATGTTACTTCAAAGGACATCACGGTGGTCTGCACAAGGTTTAAAAGTCATTCGATTACCGCGATTACAAACAAAGGATTTTCTTAGTAGTCTCATTTATTGTAGCCGCTTAATTGTCACGTCTTCTCTAATATCCTCTGTGAACCGATCGTACATGAACATCAGGTACTGAAATTGACACAGTCACCTTGAAATCCCTCAAACGCTTCTGATTGGCTCGTCCATAAATTATAGTCTCGCCGATAAAATCGGCAAGCTAAACCGATTCTAAAATACTAGATGATCGAAAATTAACAGATTTAACAGTGGAGATGGTTTGTTTAATAGATTAAGATAATTGATAGGGTACACGTACTCAACTCTAAAAAAGCATTATTAAAAAAATCCAGGCATATTATGCCAATTCCATCTTTATGGTTAAGGGCAGTCGTTTATCAATCGCAGTCATCGGACTGTTACGCGTGAGTGTCACTTTCTGAAACTATGCTGATAGATAAAACAAAGTTAATGGACACTAAACAGCGGCATATACCATCATAAAGGAGATTTCATATCTGAGGATATAAGTTTTAGGCCGGCAGCTTAGTTCGAGCAAAAATCTCCACCTCGGAAAGAACGAAAATTTATGGATGGCCTTGTTTATATCTGTTATATATATATATATAACTGGAAAATGGCCTTGGTGACTAACCTTTGCTACCAGTTGGCGACGTGATTTTCCGTGGTCGAGATCTAATATCATAAATAATAGGGTACTGAAACCACGGGATTCTAATATAATTCATTTAAGTCAACCAAAATACCTGAAGTGTAAGCCTTCGGTATATATTTCATTCTGCACGCCACCAATACGACTGAACATAATTGCTCGATGACCTCCATCCACTATTTGACTAAGTTGTTTTCAGTTTGTTGGACGTACCTGTATAAAATGACTGAGATAAGCCTAAAGTAAGAGCTGCAGCAGCACCAATGAAACCTCCACCTATGACACCGAAATTCGCGATACTCTTTAGATTGTTCATTTTAAACGCATGCGTACCGCTTAAGTTCGACTCCCCCCTCCTCTCGCCAATACATCATACAAGCTTACTGAAACAAACAACCAATAGTATTTCGTGGTTTATATGAAATAACGAATGAATTACAATAACATTTGTAGTACATGATGAAAAGAAGAAGGAAGTTGTCATTAGAATGGGGATAGTTTCAGTAGTTTACGTTTAGATGTGTGTAAAGAACCTACCGATGAAATTTCCTCTATATTCGTTTTCTTACTTTCTAGTGATATACTTTCCTGTCATCACTTTGGGTTTGGAATGAAAAGTAAACCTCGAGGTCAAAAGCGCATTCCATTATAAAACAATCTAGTATGACATATCCTCTCTTCGTTTTCCAAGCCGCAATAGGCACTGCTGGTTGGAATACAAACGAACTGGTTACATAGGCGCATATGGGTATTACAAACAAAAAGAAACATATTCGCAAAGGCAATGAGAGAAGATAAACTTCAGTACTTGATAAAGCTTGTCGGTAAATTTGTCTGCAATCCGAAAAGCTTATTTCGTTATGCCGCCTCTTTTCGATAAGCAAAAACTGGAGTTTCTCAACTGCGAGATCCTAATGGCCCTACAAGAAACGACAGTGATGCAGCTAACCTTCTGATTGAACAATACTTACTTACTTACTTACGCCTGTTACTCCCAATGGAGCATAGGCCGCCGACCAGCTTTCTCCAACCCACTATGTCCTGGGATTCCTTTTCTAGTTCTATCCAGTTCTTGTTCATTCTTCTCATGTCTGTTTCTGTTTCTCGGCGTAATGTGTTCTTTGGTCTTCCTCTTCTCCTTCGACCTTCAGGATTCCATGTGAGGGCTTGTCTTGTGACGCAATTAGGTGATTTCCTCAAGGTGTGCCCAATCCACTTCCAGCGCTTCTTCCTCTGCTGGAATCTGGTTTGTTCTCTCCCACAGTAACTTATTGCTAATAGTGTCTGGCCATCGGATCCAAAGTATTTTGCGTAGACAGCTGTTGATGAACACTTGTATCTTCTGGATAATGGCTTTCGTAGTTCTCCACGTCTCCGCCCCATACAGTAGAACTGTCTTGACATTTGTATTGAAAATTCTGACCTTGGTGTTGGTTGACTATTGTTTTGAGCTCCAGATGCTTTTCAGTTGTAGGTATGCTGCTCTTGCTTTGCCGATCCGCGCCCTCACATCTGCATCTGATCCACCGTGTTCATCAATGATGCTGCCCAGATATGTAAAGGTTTCCACATCCTCCAAAGCTTCTCCGTCAAGTGTAATTGGATTGGTGCATATTGTATTGTATCGGGGAGTATTGCTTTTCTCTTTGTTTATATTGAGACCTACTGCTGCTGAGGCTGCTGCTACACTGGTCGTTTTCTCCTGCATTTGTTGTTGCGTTTGTGATAGAAGAGCCAGATCATCCGCGAAGTCTAAATCGTCAAGCTGCATCCTGCCTGTCCACTGTATCCCGTGCATTCCTCCAGATGTTGACGTCTTCATAATCCAGTCGATCACCAGGAGAAAGAGAAAGGGTGAGAGTAGGCAACCTTGCCTAACACCGGTCTTTACCTCGAACGAGTCGGTGAGTTGTCCTCCGTTGACGATTTGGCAGTTTAGTCCATCATAGGAGTTCCGTATGATATTTACTATCTTCTCAGGCACACCGTAGTGTTGAAGAAGCTTCCATAGTGTCGTCTTGTCCACGCTATCAAATGCCTTCTCGTAGTCGATGAAGTTGATGTAGAGTGATGAATACCATTCGATTGATTGTTCCACAATGATCCGCAGAGTTGCGATTTGATCTGTGCACGATCTATCCTTACGAAATCCAGCTTGTTGATCTCGAAGTTGGGCGTCCACTGAATCCTTCATCCTGTTTAACAATACTCGGTTGAAGACTTTTCCTGGTATTGAGAGGAGAGTGATGCCCCTGTAGTTGTCACACTTGCTGAGATCGCCTTTCTTTGGTATCTTGATCAGAAGTCCTTTTTTCCAGTCTTTTGGTACTTGTTCTCCGTCCGAAATCTTACTGAAGAGGATGTGGAGTATCTTGGCAGTTGCCGGTACATTTGCTTTCAGTGCCTCCGCCGGGATGTTGTCTGGTCCCGCTGCTTTGCCACTCTTGATTTGTCTAATGGCCATGCTGATCTCTTCAATTGTTGGTGGGCCAATATCGATTGGGAGGTCTGTGGGTGCTGCTTCGATGTTGGGTGGGTTCAGTGGAGCTGGTCGATTCAAGAGTTCTTTGAAGTGTTCTACCCACCTGTTTCGTTGTTCTTCAATGTCGGTGATTACTTCGCCTTCCTTGCTTTTCACTGGTCTTTCTGGTTGACGGTAATTTCCAGCAAGTTTCTTTGTTGTATCATACAGTTGTCTCATGTTTCCTTCTCTTGCAACCTTTTCCGCTATCGTTGCTAAATCTTCAACTTATTTACGTTTGTCGGTTCTGATGCTCCTCTTCACTTGCTTGTTTGCCTCTGTGTATTCGGCTTGTGCCTTGGCTTTTTCCGCTCTTGTTCGGCTGATATTGATTGCTACCTTCTTGTTCCTCCTTGCTTCAATCTTACCCAGTGTACCAACAGTGATCCATTCCTTGTGATGGTGCTTCTTTTGGCCCAGAACCTCTTGACACGTTGAAACGATTGCCTCCTTGATACCTTTCCAGTTGCTCTCCATGGTAGTTCCCTCTCCATTGAGTAGATCATGAAAGGCCTCGAACCTGTTGCTGAGAGCTATGTTGAATTTGTTGAGTTTGTCAGCATCTCGAAGAAAGGCCGTATTAAACTTTTGTGATGTTGTCCGCGCCATTGTTCAGTGCTTCTTGAGTTTTAGTTTCATCTTGGCGACCAGCAAATGATGATCGGGTGCTATATCAGCTCCTCTTCTGGTTCTCACATCCTCCACCGTCCTCCTGAACCTTTTGTTGATGCAGACATGGTCGATTTGATTTTGTGTAGTGTGATCCGGTGAAATCCAAGTGGCTTTGTGTATGTTTTTGTGTGGGAATATGGTGCCACCTATGACCAGTTTATTGAAGGCACATAGGTTTGCAAATCTCTCACCGTTTTCGTTCCTTCCTCCCAGTCCATATTGTCCCATGACGTCTTCGTATCCAGTGTTGTCCTTTCCAACCTTGGCATTGAGATCTCCCATCAGAATTGTCAGGTCCTTGGTTGGGCACTTCTCGAAGATCGACTGCAGCCTATCGTAGAATTGGTCTTTAGCGTCTTCATCGTAGTCGTTGGTCGGCGCATAGCATTGGATGATGTTCATTGTAATGCCCTCTCTCTTTGTTCTGAAGGAGACTTTGATGTTATTTGGTCCATGAGATTCCCATCCAATAAGTGCATTTTGTGCTTTTCTGGACAGCATCAATGCAACTCCTTGTGTATGTGGGGCATTTTCTTCTTCATGACTGGAGTATAACAGAAGTTCTCCTGAAGACAGTCGTTGTTGTCCAAGCTGCGTCCAATGTGTTTCGCTGATTCCAAGAACCTCCAGGTTGTATTTTCTCATTTCTGCAGCAATTTGGAAAACTCTTCCGGTCTCCCACATTGTTCGGACATTCCATGTACCTATAAAAATTGTTGCTGTGGTTGTAAGAAGGTGCATCGGCCTCATGACTTCCGAATGAACTCGGCTTTCATCATGAGACGTCATAATTATTCCTTCTACTCCCAGGGCAGAGTTTGAAAGGTTTGAATGATTTTTTCTGGTTAACGTTTTTTAGCGAGTTGATTTTCTACGGGATGGGGTCGCTAACCCCATGCCCAACCCTCCTCCTTTACCCGAGCTTGGGACCGGCAGTAACCTCCAGAGGAGCTACAGGCGGAGTTCTGATTGAACAATACTATCGTACATTTCAACCGACTCACATCAACTACACTAATGAAAGCTCCAGCTGCAACTGCACAGGATTTTCCGAAGTGAACCTGAGCGCTGACTGGGTGTACCTGAATCTGCAGCAACTAAAGAAGGCACTTCTCCTGGTCCGGATATGGTTCATTCTGCTATGCTGAGTGAAGCGCTTTCAATCCTGGCAACACTGCTTAGCGTAATGCTCTCACACTCACTTAGCCGAGGCACACTACCGGAAATTTGGAAGCTGGCTCACATCACACCAATTTTCAGCGAACCTTCAGGCTACCGATCATTAGCCCTTCTCTCTATACCTTCAAAAGTTATGGAGTCCCTGATATGTGACAGTATAAACAACTACTTACTATTTGTCAAATTTTTTCTCACCACAACATGACGACTTCAGAAAAGGTCACTCATGTATATCAAGCTGCTAACTGCGGTGCACAGATGGACAACCATCCATGATCGCAAAGGGAAGCTTGATGTCATTTGCATTGACTTCTCAAAAGATTTTGATAACATCCACTATATATGTCTTGTCAATAAGCTCAAACATTTAGATATCGACACCATTAATTGATTGACTGACTTCACAGCTAAAAAAAATCGATATTTTAGGGTCGGTGGAAACTTCACTTTCTCCCAGGCAATGGAACGTCCTAGTGGGGTTCCCCGGGGCTCATTACCAGAACCTCTTTTTTTCTTGGTTTATATGAACGATCTAACACAGCAGGTAACGTCAGATTCATTTTTTCGCTGATGTTGTGGAACTCTGATAGAAGCACTTCATCAAGGGGATGAATTGGTGCTTCAGGAGGACCTGATTCTGCTTCAAATTCGGGCAGACACCAACAGACTTACATTTAACACCACAAAGTGTTGAAGATACCACAGGTATTGCAGTTTAACAACACTTTACCAGTGACACCTATAATTGAATCCCGCCTACCAAGTGAAATTTAAAGTCAGAAGCGAGGTTGTACGAAGATATACTGTTTCAGCAGTAATGTCCTTAATCGGTACTTCTTCTGGTCATCGAATGAAACGGTCTACGCATGTTAAGAGATATGAGTATCCGTTGTAATCGGGTAAGGGTCCTACCAAATCTAGATGAACGTGATTGAAACGAGCGTCAGGGGTTTTGAAAGAGCCTAAGGGACATTTATTGTGCCTTATGACCTTAGATTTCTGACAGCTTACACAGGAGCGTGCCCACTCCCTCACGTCTTTATTCATGCCAGGCCAACAAAAGCGTTCGGCTATAAGTTCGATTGTTGCACGAGCACCTGGATGAGAAAGATTGTGCAACGTATTGAAGACGTTGCGTCGATAATGTTTTTGTACTATTGGACGATCCCTACCTGTAGATGTGTCACAGAGTAAGGTTTCCTTACCTGTTCCCATCTGCTTAATACTTAGTTTTAGAGTTGTCGAGGATAACTCATGCTGAAGATCAATGTCTTCTTCTTGAAGCTGAGCGAGTTTAATAAGGTCGATTCCTTGTAAACTGTTCAAGGAACTTATTCGAGACAAAGCGTCTGCGACTACATTGTTAGCTCCAGAAGTGTGTTGTATGTCTGACGTAAACTGCGAAATGTAGTCCAGTTGTCGAGACTCTCGCGGTGAGTACTTGTCTGAAGATGAAGTTAAAGAGAAGGTAAGAGGTTTGTGATCGGTAAAAAGCGTGAATTCTCTTCCTTCGATGGAATGTTGGAAATGTCGTACAGCACAATACATAGCTAGGAGTTCCCTACCGAACGTGCTGTACCTAGATTCCGCGTCTAGCAACCGTCTCGAGAAAAATCCTAAAGGTTGCCACGAGTTGTTAACCCATTGTTGTAAGACTGCTCCGATTTCTGAGTCGGACGCGTCTACGGCGATACTGATGGGCGCTTGAGTGTCCTGATGAGCTAGTAAGGTTGCTTTAGCGATGTGTTCCTTAACTGTGGAGAATGCTTTACAGGCTATGTCGTCTAAACTAATTGATTTCGCATTTCCACGAAGCTGATCGGTTAACGGTTTCATAAGGGATGCGCATTTGGGTATGAACCGTCTATAGAAACTCACAAGTCCGTTGAAAGTTCGTAAGTGCTTGATCGTGGTCGGTTCTGGGTAATCCAGAATGGCCGCCACTTTGCTCCTAAGGGGTCGGATGCCTTGGGCATCAATGGTGTGTCCTAGGAAGTCTAAGGAGTTGGTTCCGATTTGGCATTTCTGTATGTTGACAGTAATGCCATGCCTTTGGAGTCGATCGAAAACAATGTCCAAATGCTGGAGATGTGATTCTTTGTCCGGACTATGAGGCAGTCATCAACATACGCATGTACGGAGTTGAGACCTCAGAAGACGTCGTCTATAAACCTTTGGAAGGTTTGAGCCGCGTTTCTCAAACCAAAAGGCATTCGTAGAAATTCGTAAAGACCGAAGGGAGTGATGATGGCGGTTTTAGGAATGTCGTCAGGTGCCATCGGGATTTTGTTATAAGCTTTAACCAAGTCGATTTTCTAAAAGACAGTTGTACCTTTCAAGGTAGCTGTCAAATCGTGAATATGAGGCAATGGGTAACGATCGGGAATGAATTTCGTATTCAGACGCCGATAATCACCAGTTGGCCGCCAATCATTGCTGTCCTTTTTAGGGACCATGTGTAATGGGGATGCCGAATGTAATGGGGATGGTCGAATTATCCCTAGGTCCATCACGTGGTCGAATTCGTTTTTAGCTAACCTATGCTTCTCGGGAGCGAGACTTCGAGCTTTCGAAAATACAAGTGGTCCTGTAATCGAGATGTGATGTGTAACATTGCTGGTTACACAAGGCAATTTCGATTGCGATTGGTATATCCCGGAGTATTTGTCGAGTACTGATTGGTACAATGGGTCTATGGTGTGCTTAATCGTGACTGGGGATAATATGCAACCGGAACAAGAAGTTACGCAAACGGATAACTTAGTGTTTCCGTCTATTAACCTTCGTGAGCGTGTGTCGATGAGTAGATTGTGGTGTTGTAACAGGTCTATACCGATGATTGGCATAGAGACATCTGCAACCACGAAAATCCAGTGTATGGGTTTGCGTAAACCCACGTTAAGGTAGACGTACCTTTTATCGTATGTATGGTCCAGAACAGGCAATATATACTGCCTGTTAGCAATAATCTATTATTTTAAACTTTCCCTACTGTAAGTTAAGACTTGACACATAAAATTTCAATTATTTTAAGTTGCACCGCCACTTGGTATTCTCCCATTTTAGTGTACATGATATGCACATAATTTATTCTAATAGAATGCAAGTCGGCAAGACTATAATTTATGGTCGAACCAATCAGGTGTAAGAAACATCTATCGGATTTTGGCGCGAAGTTCACTCATCCATTCGGATTGAGTTTGGGCATTATAACTGATGTCAGTTCCCGATGAGAATCCGAAATCTAATTCCTAACCTTAATTATCAACTGTAAATCATAATTCTAATCCCTCACACAGGTTTATAACCCTCATTTGGTCCTGCTTATTAGGTCGTCCTTAAATTATTGTCTCACCTCCAAGTCTTATCCAACTTGTTAATTCCTCTGGTTACTTATATGTAGTTAATTCAATCTAAGTATACGAGTTTCACCCTAGAATCATGCTCAGTAGCTTAAGTGAAGTGCCTTTCATGAAAATACACGTTTGTTCTAAGTTTTCTTTCTCAACGATTTTAGTTACCATTCTCTCTCTGCGATACAAACTTAGTGTCCGATTTCATTGCCCTGCATAGAGCCATCCCATTTGTAACTGCTTCATGGCTTGGTTTCACCTACCATTATACCGAAGCTTTAATTACGTGAGTAGGAGATTATCTACGCGAGCCAAATTGAGTCCATTAGCTGATGCTTTTAATTACCATAGTTTAGAAACGAAGGATGAACATTTAAACAAAACTACAGGTATCTTTTGCATAATATCAATATTTTTCCTCATTCAGGACTTTTTGGCCACCCGGTCTTGACGTCTCCTCATAGTTTTCAAAGTCTGGTTGAGTCTACTATCGGAGAGTGTCATGTGTTGTGTGATGAAGCTACTTCTCAAACAAGAGTTAGGAAAATAGTCCAGGTTAGTTTTGTGTTATCTATACTTCAACTTTATTACATTTTAACAGTCACTTGGAACTGCTTTTCATGCTATAACCACTTACTAGGTACTGCCGTTCATAAGCAGGTTATTTATTTACAGGAATCAAATACGTAAAACTGGTGTGGTAGCTCATTCTTCCCCAATCCATTTGCACGCTATCTCGCATGGTACGTGAATGTAGATGTTTAAACATGCATAAAGCGCTCTAACTTTATCGGCCCATATGAAACCATGGATTCAGTGACCGACTGATTACCTTCAAATAGTACTCATGTGTAACATCTCTGCTTCCTCTATCCCTTCGATATATATGAGGTATAGTTAGTAAGACTGTGTTGAGAAAAACATAAAATCTGCGCTTGTGTGTGTATTTATTAGCCACATTTCTCGCTTTTGAAGTAATGAAAAGTGAACTGTTCATTATACTCCTTGCTTAATAAGAAGTCGAATATTTCGTTTTGTCCGTAGATAAATTTCAATAGATTTCACTAGTCACTAGTTTTTGCAGGTTGATAAGGCTTAAGAAAAATGATATCCAACACGTTCAAACTTGATTCCTCAAAGTTAAAATTCCTGATATTCCCGATCAATCATGAAACAATATTTTGCAAGGAAAACGCAATGATTACATTCACCACACATTTCGAAGTTGTTTCAGTATTTGAGAACATACCTTTTGTTGTCGTCTTATGGTTTCGTAGAAACAAACTGGTTTGTATTGGAGACTTATCGATGACACACGTACTGAAAAGTTTCGAATCCACGATATCCTTGAATATATTAAGAAATTAGATCCATCACTTTTATTTATATTAGAGCAGGAATGTGAATGAAAACTCCATTCCTTGATGTCCTACTTACTGAAAGAAATCGTGAATCATTACAGACGTCTGTGTACAAAAATCCTTGAAACGGGAAACACATATTCACCCTTAATTCTCAATAATTAGGAAATAAAGTCTCAGTAGTCCCTATGCTCATGACATCGTAAAATTTCTTCACTAGACCGCATAATGGATAAAATTTCCAGTTCCTAATCTACCTTTCTAGAAGATGGATATTCGTCAAGATATGTGGAGAAAATCCGAAGATACAGTCTTCACAAACCAAGTCTACTGCCCCAAAAGTCACTGTTTGTAAACCTGATGAAGTATTGGTGGTGATATTACTAAAAGACCATCTGCACATAGTAAGCGAGATAAAAAGACATTTAACTCCTCGAAAATTCGTATAAGCTGCTATAATCATTCTCTTATGTGCCCGTTTGTGAAAGTAAAGTTGCCAAGGCCGACCAACTGAATGTTCGTATACTAGTTCACCTGTTCATGTTGAGCTAGGTATGTAGGTCGTTCATCCAGGTCATTTCTTCACACTTGGGAACATTGAACATCCGTTTAGTACCTGTATGGTATATATATACATTTTATTTTATTATTTATTTAAACACAAATATTGGTACAAGGAAGCACCAGATAAATATGCGCCTCACAAATCTCATTCGATTTGTGTGAGGGCTGTGATACTGCCCAGGTGCCCAGACTGAAGCAGGTGGTTTTCTTAGGGGGCCACACCCCGAGCCTTTGACCTGAAGGTCTGATCCACAAGGCGGTGGAGCATCGTAAGGAGGTACAATCCCATGGTAGCCGGTGACCAACAGTTGGTTCATACGCTATTCGTTCCTTCAGGATCCTGGACCCCATGTGCACCATTGGTTTGGAATCAGGGTTTTCCAACTCCCCTAGGTGGACTTGCCTTGTCCACCAACCCGGGTAAAGCGCCGGACATTCGCTTTTTGTCCTCTCACTTTTGTGAACAACACCCGTGGCAGGAGAAGGCAGTGAGTAGGACTTCCCTGGCAGAGGCTATATATTCGCATGGCCATATGAGAGCATTTCGAGAGGGAGAGTGGACTCTCCCCACTCTCGACCGTACCAGGGCATTTGGGGGCATATATATATATATATATATATATATATATATATATATATATATATATGATTGAATAACTCGTTGGAAATGATTTTTTTCGCTGAATAAATCATTTCATGATATAATGTATATATTTAAATTAAGCAAACTAGTTATTCTTATATATTCGCCAAGTATAATATAAATCGTTGTTCCCTGGTACGGCCGAGAGTGGAGACAGCCAGCTCTTCCTCTGGAAATGCTCTCAAAGGGCCACGTGCATACAACTGCCAGGGGAGTCCTACTCTGCCTTTTCGAGGCGGGGGTGTTGTTTACGAAACCCGGAGGACGAAAAGCGAATGTCCGGCGCTTTAACCGAGTTGGTGGATAAGGAGGATCTACCCAGTAGGGTTGAAAAACCCTGATTTGAAACCAATGGGGCACATGAGCTCCAGTTTCCTAAGGAAACAAATGGCATATGCACCGATTGTTGATCGCCGTCCACTATGGGACTGCATCTCCTTATGTTGCTCCACTGTCTTGTGGATTAGAACTTTAAGTCAAAGTCTCGGAGTGTGACCTAAGAAAATCACCTGCTTCGGTTTGGGCACCTGGGAAGTATCCCAGCTCTCACACAAATCGAATAATTTGTGGTGCATATATATTTGGTGCTTCCTTGTACCAATGTTTATGTCTTTAAATAAATTACGTGTATTATTTATTAATTAAATTCTTTCATTTGGTCTACGATTATTTAATGTCAGTATCTTTAAAACACCTAACTGCATGTAGAAAATGTTTCAGATGAATAGTTAAGTGTACTGACCATCTCTCTATTCAACTCTTTCTGTTTTGTACAGTAAAAAACACCCAGGGTAAAATATTTTAACAAGGTTTCTCTATTCTTCCAGCAAATATTTATACACGTGATAAAAACTAAAAATGCACTAGAAATATTTACAATAATGATCAACAAATATTTATTTCTATCCACCAAGGTTTCTGATTGGCTTTAATTTTACGACGTTTTCATCACATAATGTATAGTAAATAAGGGATCGCAGAGTTTTCACGCTTCTCTTTACGAGAATGGATTCTGATTTAATTATGTATCCTGTCACGCAATAGAAAACGTTGTGCATGTAACCAATGATTTTTATTTGATGAAATTATTGTTCGCAAGGTTTCTAATGGCTATCTATCAGCATAATGTAATAAAAAACAAGATAATAACTCTATTAGCAGCTTTCAAGGTTTTACACTATTTACAATCATTTCTCAAAAGTCCTGGAAAAATTCAAGAACAATGTAAGGGATTAGATACTATGCAAAAGCAAATGTCAAGTCATGGCAGAGTACTTAGTTTCATCATTTAATAAACTTGACAAAAACTACTCGTCGGCGTTGTCAAAAATACGAGATAAGTTGAAAAAGCCAAAATGAAAACCTAAATAAATAACATTTGACATAATTTTTCTAAAGTTTTCGTCAATAATATAGAAGTTATGTCACTCTGGATGTGTGTACTTTCCGTGCCAAATAGCAAATCTAACATTTAGACATTGAGAGATGATATCGTCTCACCGTGCAACGGCCTTCAGGCCATGCTTACTTACTTACGTCTGTTACCCCTTGTGGAGGAGCATAGGTCGCCCACCAGTATTCTCCACCAAACTCTGTCTTGGTCAGTCCTTTTCAGTTGTTTCCAGTTGCTATTCATTCATTTTATGTCTGTTTCCAATTTCCGACTCACTGTGTTCTTTGGTCTTCCCCTTTTCCGTTTTCCAATTACTTTTTCTAGTTAGCGTTTTTCTAGCAAGGTTGTTTTCTACGGGGTCACTGGCCCCATGTCCAACCCCTCCTCCTTTGTGTGGGCTTTGGACCAACAGTAATCTTAGGAGAGCTACAGACGGAGTTTTTCAGGCCATATAATCCACTCTTAATCAATTTCCAACCAGTTTCCACAGGTATGGCATATGCTTTGCAACTTCTGGGTGCAAAGTACCTTTACAAGGCTCTCAAGAGCCTTTTCGAGTTAATGGTGTCAGGCGAATCTGTGAGTTTGATTTTCGTTGTTTCCGAAATATTGCTGACATCCAGTGGTAACACCTTGTTAGTAATCCGAAGATCCAGCAACGTTTGTTCAATTACAGTGGCGATTATTCAGTTGGTGTCACCATACTGAAATACTGACATAGGTGTCTTAGGCATGTAACTAAGAAGCTAGTGACAGTCCTTCTGTAGTTTTCTTTTCATAAATGTGAGAGGACCTTTCTTAACTGAAAGAATTTCTGTTTGTATTTTATCAACTAACTTTTCTTCCACTACTAACTTTTCGCATGCACTTATTTCTATTCACTTATTGTTTTCGGTTACGCTCACACTCTTTTCTCTCATTTTAAAATCTGATTTTCTCATTGTGTGGCGCATATTTATTTTAGAGCCCATTCGTACAAATATTTATGAATAAATATATAAATAAATGTTTCACTCACATTCCGTATGTAAACATATTATTTTCTTACGTAAAAAACTTTTCATCTGGCTAGTGGTATTTTCATTGATTTCTGACTATTTGGGAGATTCAGTCAATAAAATGGTCTCATGAGCCGTTATCACTCGATCACATTTCATATAATTCCATTCATCTATCGATTATCATTTTACTCATTGATTTTAACAGTCGGAAATATCGTCTCATCAATCATTAAAAACCTCCATAATATTTGATCATCCGACTCTTTATGTCTACATTAATAAACTTATTTAACAAGAGAGGTGTTGGAACAAATTTTAGAGTACAAGTGTAGTCTTCAAAAGTGCTCCAATTATATTTTTTATAGACTAAGCACTGTGTTATAATTTGAAACAACTATAGCACTCAAATTACTCATTGGAAGTTTGAGTAAACTGATACGGATTATTATGGTCCTTAAATGAAAACTGGAGTATAAGTAATTGTTCCTCCTTTAAAAGAATCACACCAAACCCTCATGTCTGTTGTTAATCAATTTAGAATAAAATAGAGAGGATCTTCGAGCATAAACACTAAAAAACGACACTAATTTCCAAAGTTCATATATATATGTTTTTCACTATATTTTCAACCCTGAACAGATATTGATTCTTTATTTAGTTATTGCTCATTTTCTGACCTTCGAATAGGTGTTTTATGCCCTTGTGAAGTTCCTCTTCCATATTATTTCGAATTTTGGTTAATTAGGTTAATCAATTCTTTGTGTTTATGTTAGGTGACCAATTCCTAGGTGTATCAGACATAGTTCTTCAATTTAAACCTCTAAGTACTTACTTCACCGTATTTTTTCTGTGTTTGCGTCTACTTAAATATTTTCGTAATTATTTAAAAAGATTCACATGTACAATGATCATTCTGCTTGGCGTGTAGTGAACGAAAACTGGGGAAAACCAGTCTACGGTTGAATGCAAAATTACAGAATGTCTTCGTAAGATGTGAAAAGCATACATTAAATATATCATTTTCATATCTTTCACCAGTTGTCCTTTACTTACTTCATGATTCTCCACTTCCGTTTTTACTCCGATTGCTTTCTGTTACTCTTCCTGTTCTCTTCAATTTAATCTGCTTTTAGCAGGCATTCCACTTCCGATTGCTTCTACATACTAATTTTATCTGTCAGCAGAAGTAGGATGCACTACAAGTGTACTATTATATTCCACTCATCATATTCACTCATGTATTACTATTGCTGGACCTAATTTCAATACTTTAATTTAATCCATCTATTTATCACAGATATTAGACGATCTATCCGATACATTGTGTCGAGTTGCTGATTTATCTGATTGTATACGAATGCTTCATCCAGATGAAGCATATCGCTATTCTGCACTGAAAGCATGTCAGTCAATTGGTCAACTTGTCGAAGAATTGAATACTAATTCAAAATTATATAATGCTTCTGTACGTGCAAACAGTTCATCTCAAGTGGATAAATTAATCCCAGATACACATATGGATAATGTTGATAAGCGTGTACTCGATTTATTTGTAGCTGATTTTGAACTATCTGGTGTACAACTACAGGACCCTTGTCGACACGAACAATTCGTGCGTGCTGCTTCATTTGCTTTAAATTATGGAGCTAAATTTATTGAAGTGAGCGATATATTTGTTTCTTGACTGAATATTTTTTTGGAGGTAGGGGATCGAGTTAATGCGGAAATTATTAATTTTGCCGACTCTCTTAGCATTTACACTTATCTTCACAGCGATTACTTTTTTTAGGAATAAAAATACTTCCTACCACTTAGGAATTTGGATTCAATATTTTTTCAAGTTCAATGTAAATGTGGTATAAGAAGTATAAAGCATAGAAATTGAATAACTATCTACTACTGGCTAGGTATTTCACGTGTTTCTAGCTGAAGATAGTTCATAGTTCTCTTTGTACCACACCATGCATATACCTTAAAAATAAACTGCCGTATTTATTAATAGTGCTTTACCAAAATTGTTGTAAATACTACCATGATTATTAATTTTCATTGTAATGTGGCCAATTTATTCAGGTGTTCCACCTGTGAGTCACAGTTTTCAAAGTTGATTCACTTACTTAGTAGCACCCATTGATCAGTATACTTGTTCTGACTTATGGCCCTGTCTAATATCACGTGATAAACCACCACTCAGAGTATCGATTTTTATGGCGTTGTCCTTGAGATTACTAATGTCACGTCAATCAGCACTAGTAACCTTGAGTCTACTTCAAACCCTTATCGATCCTCAATACAATAGCTTTCCTCTTTGCTCTCGCCTTAAGTTTAGAACACAATAACCAGCCTCCTGTATACGAACAATATATTTCAAATCTATGTAGCTTATATTCAGCGATACCCAACCACATCGCACCATAAAATGGAAAATAACGATTATACAAGATCAAGTCAAAAGTGGTTGTAATTAAGGGAGACTGTAAAAAATAGATTGAAATAAATTGAGAATAGTAAATCGTATAATAATAGTTAATGGGTCAAACAAAAGCTTATAATAAAATGATATATTTGTCTATATAATAGTATATAAATAATTCCTGGAAGTTGCTATTCACCTAATCTTCTTAAGATATAACACTGCTAGTCAAAGTTCGCAGTGCAGCACATTACACTGGATGTAGTTGTTGAGAGAGATATTTTTACGATGGCTGAATTACTGTTATAATTCCTAGTACTGTTATCGAAAACGTTTATGATTAGACTGATTCTTTTTAGTTTTGTTATACGAATTAGAAGTTTTATAAAACATTCTCCTGATATTTAATCCCTTAGAAACACTCAAAAACTTTATTGGCGTATCGTGGATCCACCAAATTAGTCCTTCTGAGGTTTGGATAACAATGCTAGGTAAAGAAAAACTCAAATCCGTAAATAAGACTATAGACTTTCATCGACTGAGGTGGTTAGGATATGGGTTACGGTTGCCTAACTACTGTGTACCCTGACATCCAATGTTTCTCTGACATGGGGGTATATGGCAAAAATTTAGGAGTGGGTCAATTAAAGCATACCCTAGGTCTATGAAGTCATTGACTGTCGGTCTGAACCATGTTGTTAGATAAATTATTCCTCTTTGTGACCTACAGAATACTCGTTAGCAATGGCTAGCAGCGTAGGATGGTAGTGCAAAGTCGATCAGAGTGGCGAAGAGGTATTCATTCCACCCCTCATTTGTGGAATTATCCACCGAATTATTGAGTCTCGATAATCACCATTGTACAATCGGTATGGTAATATATATATATATATATATATATATATATATATATATATTAGTTTGACGTGGTATTATTGTCCTTAAATTTGTATATATATTGTATATATAATAAATATTTCTCTTTATATAAGAACTTTCGTCTAAATTAGAGCTAATAGTTTCACTGTATTTGAGCGCCGAGTTTATGTAAGACATTAAATAGGAATAATGTATTTGTAAAATTTCAGCGAATGAATTTGAAGTAAATCCAACGTTTCGCCTGGCCATCTGGTCCAAGCTTTTTCAAGGAATTATAATCAAACATCGAAATTATGGAATATAAATAGGTATATGGTTCTTCGCTTCATAGTACACTGAATAGGTCATCCAATCAACGTTAAAAATGTCTAAACTAAGTATATGTATTAGTGTGTAAGAGATTTGTGATGTGAAATGATAAGTGTTAAGATAACATATTGTATACACACGTAAGTGGTGAGAGGAGAAATTTCATTCACAATATATTGTCTCTTGTGGGTGAATTTTTAAGAATATTTCTTTTGTATTTAAATTCTACTTGTCTCTTTTTCCTATTACATTATTACACATTACTTAGGGTTGCCATAGTACAGTAGCTTTTCCATCGAAGTATACAACAAAGAGTTATTCAAATTCAATTGAACTTGTTCATCCACTTAGTGATCATCCAGATCCTTCTATACGTTTATCCACCTATCATGCATATTATGCACCAGTTGAAGGTCAAGAAAAGTGTCTAGAACAACTTTTGAGTGCACGACATGAAATGGCACAGTAAGTTGTTTATTAAAGTAATATAGTATTTACAAATTCACAAATTTCCATCTCTTCAAAATGTCACGTATTTTAACGGAATGAGAGAAGGGATGAGGAATCGTAAACAATCTCCACAGCCCTATACTGATAATTGTGAACAAACTTACTATGACTGGGTTAGTGTCAATCTTATTACATAGATCAATCTAGATTTGGTCTATAGAAAACAATATCTTAAATTTGCTAACCTTCCTGTCCTCTATTGAAATCTCTGTACATGGGAAAATAGAAATATACACTTTCTAATTATGTGTTTGTTAATAAATGACAATATTATAGTTATAATTATCGTATAATTAATTTCTTACTACTGTCGATTGCATTTCTATCAGGTTTGAAATCTTATTGTTTCCATTTTATTGCTCAGGTTTTAAACAGCATTTGTTATAAACAGTAAATCATTATTACGTAGCATTTTTTAGATAGTGCATTCCCCACAGATGACGATTCTTTTCTTTGAAAATTAAGTTGAAATGCCTAAGTTTCATAACTTCGGTTATGTAATACAACAACTGGCTTATTACAAAAGTTGGCTTTAATTATCTATTTTATGAAATGTGTTTCTGAAATACTAGTTAGAGAGATTAGACAAAAGCTATCACTAGAAACGTTTTCTTTAGTAAGACAATTGAATATCACATTTACCAAATGTAAATGTTCTTCGCTCTCTATCGTTGAGAAAAACAGTACTTTGTATTGACCACCGAGCTACCTGAAATAATTCTATTTTTAGAAAAATTCCAATCCATTCAGTCTTTATACACCATCAACCTTAAAAATAATCATTACTATGCTCAACAAAATAGGTGTAAAAGTATTGCCTTTACATATCCATTTTATATCTTTCTGTCTAATTTCACATGTAAGTACTAATCATCTACACACTTAAACTTATCTTTGAGAAACACTAACTTCTTAAACTTCCAGTTCGATTGTTCCGTTATTTAATTACAAACGAAATACTTCCAAATGTTAGGTAGTTAAAGGTAGTCGACAGGAAACCATTTACCCAGGTTTCGCGCTAGTTTTCACTCGCGAGCGAGGCGTCCTTGCGGTCTTAAGGGGACTGATACTTCCACGTGGATTCGTGACCGACGCATTCAGTTTCATAGTCTGAGAAGTTACCAGTAAGCTATACAGGCCGCAACTGACCTGAAAAATCAAGATGTTTAGGATTGATCGATCACTGATTAGTGGCCAACTTCATGTTGTTCTATAATCCATTAGTGCTGATCCAATTTCGTCAATGAAATTGTAATATGTACACTAGTGTGACTCGACATTACGTTGTTTTAAGATGTTATGTGGTTGTAGGTAGTCAGCAGGAAACCCCGGACCTAGGTTTCGTGTTATCTAGCACTCGTCGGCTAACCTTACCTAAGATCGTCGGGCGACTGACAAACTGAATGATGTGTGGTAGTGAAAGTAAATCTAAGTGTGGACAAATGGACACTCAACTTACTATCAAATCAGTGACTTTCGTTCATTTTATTGATTTTTGCCCCGAACTCACTGAAAGTGATTGCTTGTAATTGTGTGGAATAAAGTTTTACTTACTTACGCCTGTTACCCCCAATGGATCATAGGCCGCCGACCAGCATTTTCCAACCCACTCTGTCCTGGGCCTTCCTTTCTAGTTCTATCTAATTGTTGTTCATTCTTCTCATGTCTGTCTCTCTTTCTCGGCATAATGTGTTCTTTGGCCTTGAGGATTCCGAGCGAGGGCTTGCCTTGTGACTCAGTTGGGCGCTTTCCTTAATGTATGTCCTATTTACTTACGGCACTTCTTCTTGAGTTCTCGCTCCGCTGAGATCTGGTTTGTTCTCTTCCACAGTAGGTTGTTGCTGATAGTGTCTGGCCTTCTCGTGGCGCGGGTGTTGTTTACGAAATTGAGAGGACAAAAAGCGAATGTCCGGAGCTTTAACCGGGTTGGTTGACAAGGCGAGTCCACCTAGGGGACCCTGATTCCAAACCGATGGTGCACATGGGCTCCAGTATCCTGAGGGAACAAATGGCTTATGAATCAATCGTTGGTCACCGGCTACCATGGGACTGCATCTCCTTATGACGCTCCACTGTCTTGTGGATCAGACCTTCAGGTCAAAGGCTCGGGGTGTTGCCCTCTAAGAAAACCACCTGCTTGAGTTTCGACACCTGAGCAGTATCACAGCCCTCACACAATGCAAATAAAATTTGTGCGGCGCATATATATCTGGTGCCCCCTTGTACTAATATTTATGTGTTTAAATAGAATAAAGGGGCTCCAGGTGGAGTTGGAATAAAGTTTTATCTAGCATTTACTTTGGTTCTCTGTTTTGGTCATGAATCATGTGTCTGATATAACGCGATCTCTGGTCTGTGTGTAGCGAATCTTTCGAGTATCCAATCTAACGGCATTATAAACTTGGTCACCCAGAACAGCCTCGTTATTATATCATTGTACTAGTTAAGTATAACATAGAAAGCTAGGAAAGTATTCTAAATCATTCTTTATGTCACTGAAGGACTAAACTAGGATGATTTCGACCATTGCTCAGTTATCGATCATTTGGGAATACAACTTCTTTTCTGTTATAGTCATTCTCAATGGTAATCACCTGAAGAATAGAAGTTTTCTTAAATTTTTGTAGTATTACTATTATTCATAAAATCACCAACTGATATCCCTTCTTTTTACTGTTATTTCTTTTTAGAGCGGCTGGCTTTGAAAATTATGCTAAACGTGCTACGCTCTATAGTTTAGCTGAAACACCTGAGAATGTAGACGAATTCCTTCAGCATGTTTGTAAAAAACTTCGTCCTATTTCAACTAAAGTAGCAAGAAAACATTTATTACCAATCATAAAAAACTCTTATGGAAAAACGAAGATGCACAACTTGCAAACGAATTGTAATACAAATTTAATTTGGCCTAGTGATTTACCCTACGTAGTTGGTGTTAAACGCCAAGCATTATGTAGTCATGTAGGTTATAATTCAAAATAACTTTTATTAACAATATTACTCATTATTAATATTTCAATCAAAATGTATTGTCTGGTACGAATTCGTTTTATTCTTAATTTAATCGTTTATCTTTAACAACTAACTATATTTTCTGTGCATATTTCAATTACAGGTAATCTTTCCTAGGAAAACTTACCGTTATTAACTAGTCAACCAGTTTCTGGTCCATTTACTTGACTTTGAGCCGCACTAAGTGTTAGAGGTAGTGGTATTATCCTGCTGCCTAAACTGGAGTAGATGGGAGTCCAATTCTACACCGCTCTACTTCTTAGTTTTAATTTTACATGTAAATTAGTGACTTAGAGGTGAGAGTACTTGTCTTTCAATCGACATTTCTCAGGTCTCAACCCCCTTGATCTAATTCTGTTTTGAAAACCGGTAAAGATGTGGAATGTGTGATCATTGGTCATTTTTCAACCCTTTTGTCCTTAACTAGCCTTTTTCATCTAACAGGTAGCTTACGGTCATGGCCGACCGTAGCTGTTACCTTGACATGATGACCGCCTTTGCCTATCGTGTTGACTCAACTGAGCTATATTGAGTTGAACAATTGTATTTTTAGGTACTACCATACCGGGCAGATCGTTTGGAGGATGGTAAGACTAACATAAGAAACTTATGATCGGAGGGCGAGATCGTGCTGCTGACTGTAGAGCTGTGTAACAACAGTAAGGTATTTCCCTCGAACAGCAAGCATTTGCAGCGATTCTGCCTTCTCACAACGGAAGGAAGGGATTAAAAAATGCTGACTCTAAAAATGTCACACCCCACCTTACTCCACAAATTTCCGTCTCTGGCAGTAAGGCCTTTTGAAATACGGAGCTAAATCATCAAAAGCTTCCCACAAAGGACCTTGCGCGACTGACCTCAAGCAGTTGTCCGTTGGGCTCTGTGGCCGCTCTCCCTGGTCTCTAATACCACCACTGCTTCAGCTTCTTTTTCAGGTCCCTCAAGAAGAAATATCCTTCCACGTCCTGAGCAACCCCCTTCGTACCTGTACAACACTCTAGATAATCTTGTTGACGATCGAATCCCACCACCACTTAACAATTCTCTTATCCCCTCGAATAACCCTTCTCGTATATCTTTATCACCAAGTGGCACCAATGTTAATGATTCGAGTTTACGAAATGTTATTTATGGCCTACTGAAACTACACTTTAAACTAAATGTTGGGGTTCTCAATGTTCGAACCATGTGTCAAATAGGACAACAGGCTTAACTAGATAGTACACCAGAATCTCGCGCCATCTACGTATACTGCGCCTCCGAAACGGGCGTACAGGATCCAAGTGCAGTCATCCATTTGACCTCACCTTGTCATTACAAAGAACTGGCGCAACTTACCCTTCTTGTATTTGTAGACCTCATTGTTACTTCCCTTAGCCTCACTAGTGTAGGTATGACCTTAAATTCAAAAGCAGAACAAGCTCTGCTAGAATATTTCCTAATAGAATATCACATATGCATTGTCCAACTAAACAGAACATTAAGAACTAAGAAAGACAACTTTATTTGCGTCTTCGTTTTCTTTGTCTACACTCCCACTGATTGCAGCTCGGGTGAAGTCTCAGATGAATTTTATGGGAAGCTACCCAACCTCCTTCAAAAAACCAAACTCTCTTATCTATTAATAGTGGCAGGTGATTTTAATGCTTTAGTTGGTAAACTAAACCAATTCGAAAAGCACTTAGACAGATCTTACGGTGTTGCGGCTCAACGAACAGGAAATGGCAATTGTCTGTTGTCACTGTGTATTTCTGACAGACACCAGGTTTAATAATAAAAAGAAACATCTTATGACACGATGACCTCCACAACTGCTTCATCGATGGGCTCAGATGGATCACATTGTCATTAACCATCGTTGGAGGCACTCAATGGAAAACTGTTGCACTTTCTGAAGCACATGTCTAGACTCGCATCATATCCCAGTTTAAGCACGTATTTGTCTATATGTTACTCGACTTAGAAAAGTCACAGCCAGAAAACCCCTTACAGTTCAACTTAATGATGGAAAAATAGGAATGTATTTCAGGAAGAACTAAAGAAGCCGTTAGTCAACCATAAAAGTGATATCCATGCTGAGGTATTTTGATATGATATCCGAAAAGCTGTGAAAACAGCAGTGATACCTACTAGTAACTTAAACCAAAAGGTTAGGAAAAATCATTGGATTTCAGTGGTGCCTACTGAACTGGTAGATGCTCGGAAACTCATCCCGTCTGGCTCAAAGTACAAGGAGGAGTGGAGGCAGCTTAACCATAGACTGAAAAAAGCCTACTCAATTATCGTGAGCAGTGGTGGGTAGCAAAAGCAAAGAGATGGAAAAGACAGCTGCAATAAGTAACAGTAAACAACTGTTCAGACATATCAAGGAAACAGATATTAAAAATTCTGTTGTTAGTGAGACCATCTTGGGAACGGACGGGACTATTACTCACCATCAATCCGCGTGATTGGGCCGTTGGCCAAAAACTTTAGAGAGTATTGCAGCTGATATTCAGCCACACTCCAATTATCCACTATCTCCAAGCAAACTGATGTAAGTCTTCAGACTCTTAGTGAGGTCGAAAAGGCTATAAGTAATCTAAAGCGAGGAAGAACAGCAGAATCTAATGGACCAAACACTTAGATTTTTAAAGATGATAGTCTAGTTGTAACAGTTAAATTGACCAAAACCCTAGCTAAAATCTAGAAACTGGATGTCTTGCTATCTGACCGATCTCAATCTCTGATCATCCCTGTCTACAAGAAAGGAAAAAAATCCTCTTGTAAGAATCACAGAGAAATCAGTTTAACTAATATAGTGTTTAATATATTAGCTTCAATGATACGTCTAACTTGAAAAAAAGCAGGTTGGTTTCTAACCTTAACGTAGACGTATTGACCAAATATTTCACCCTTCGGTAGATTCTAGAATATAAACATACTTTTCGACGTCCTTTGATGGTTGTATTCTTTGACCTTAAGGTAGCGTTCGACTCCGTTGATCTTGAGGTTCTGTGGAAGTGTCTGTCATTGAAAGGGGTACCAAAGAAGTACATTAATCTTTTACAGGCTCTCTACTCAAACACTATTGATCAAATCAAAGCCTATGACTAACTGTTATCGAAATCGATTACTTCAAGTGGTGTTCACCAAGGTTGTCCACCTTCTCCATTCTTATTTAACTTTGTCATAGACATGCTTTTAGAAATAGCACTCATCGTCTGGCTTTTCAGGAATTGATCTGCTAGGAGATTCACTTGTTGGCTTAGAATATGCAGATAATATAGTTCTGTTTAGTGAAGACGCTGACAAAATGCAGAGTCATCTAACCACCTTATGCAATTATGTTTGGGATGCATTTCCCTCCTTCCAAATGTAAGATGCTACTTCAGGCTTGGCTTGCGTCATCACCTAAATTAGTGATAGGGAGTAAATTAGTTGAACACATCGACCGCTCGATTTATCTTGGAAGTCTCATCAGTACTGATAGCCTGGTGCCTGACGAAATCTCGACACGGATTCAGAAAGCTCGTGTGACTTTTACTAGTTTACGTCACTTTTGGCGTGGGCGAGATATCTATATGTCAACCAAAGAACAAGTTTACTAGTCAGCAGTTCGTTTTGTTCTGCTTCATGGGTATGAAACATGACTATTGTGAATATAGGATATTCATAGGTTGCTGGTATTGGATCATACGTGTCTTCGAACCAATTGCTCGTCTATTTTGAGACCATGGAGTAAGCAATGTCTGCGTTAAAAAATAGGGTACTAGGTAAGGATAGCAAATCGATTGATGAGGTAGTGAATCTTTATCAACTAAGATGGTTAAGATGTGAATTACGTGTGCCAATCCACCGCCTACATCGACGGCTGGTGATGGGTAGTGTAGGAGTAGGCTGAAAGGAAAATATGAGCGGCCAAACCAAAACATGACATTAGTCCATGAAATTACTATCAATTGAACTAAGCCGTTTTTAGAAATGTGGACTGCGTGGATGAGGTCCGCTTGATTATCGTAACCAGTGGTTAGAGACTTTGAATGACATAGCTCAAAATCGTTCGCAGTTGCGCAGGTGTACTCATTCTTCGTCTTCCTCCAAACCCTAAGCTTCTGAATTCCTCACATTTTTTTTATTTCACTGACTTGTATTTTCTTAAATCTTATCTTTGGTGCCTAATCTTTCCTATTACTAATAATGCTGTTGCTACCTCTAGTACTCTGAGGTTCTCCTTAACAGTTTCATTTCGCTGTGCTAATGGAGTATGGTAGTTTGAGCCGGTGTACATGTGTACCAGGTTTTATGTTACGACTGACTGACTGATGGTCATGCTATTTTGGCTAAATATTGTTTTATATACAAATAGTAACTTTAATTTCCTAATACTTATTCAAGTAGTCAGCCAGTTACTTAATAGTTCTATCCTTTGAAATCCATTGATTGGATAATATGAATCTCAGCTACATGAATAAGTTGTCATTCCACCTATGCATTAGTGTTGTTACTATATTTTATGACATCTAATAATCATTTTAGATCAAAAAAAGAAGATTAACACACACCTTTTCTCTTCCTTCTTGTTGAGAAGTTATAACCTTTTATTTCATCATAATCTTTTGTATCTGCCTTCATTATTTATTGTAACACGTACATAAGTAAGTTATCGATTCATATTTCTTCCACTCTTCTTGTTTTATAGTATTTGACAGATTATTTTTCATTGGGTGCATGTATGGAAGGTGTAAGTCAATTGGCTAATTGTCTATTTGGATTACGTCTAGATGTTGTACCAGTACAACCTGGAGAAGTATGGCATCCATCTGTTATCAAAGTTCATGTCTATTCGGATAAGAATAATTCAACAGAACCAATTGGAATAGTTTATTGTGATCTGCTTGATCGTCCTGGTAAACCTGCCCAAGTAATTTTATTCCATTTTAAAAAGTCCTCCTTTATCAAGTATTAAAATGTTATACTTTTATATCATTTGTGATCGTGTTTTTTTTCAGTGCTGACTTCGATTTACTCCCATGGTTTATTCCATGTTTTGATCATTACCTATGGGGACCAATTCAAGGAAAAAACAAACGGTTCATAATTAATGTGTGGCTAGTAAAATTAAGATGTATTTAGCTACTGAGTGTGGACAGACAAACACTGCTTACTGGTTATCGGTTATGTGGTTTTCTTCCTATTATTGATTTCTACTATGAACTCATCGAGTGTAGACTGTCTAAAATTGTGTTGAATAGAGTATTATCTAGGCTATACTCGGGCTCTTTACTTATGAACGTGGATCGTGTGTCTAGTATAACGTGATCAAGTCTGTGTCTAGCGTATCGTTCATGTAATCAGTTTAGTGGTAATGTAACCTCGGTCACTGGCCCTATCTATCATCGTATAGTAGCAGTATATCTCGGGATACAGAAAATATTTTTATTCCATTGTTATGTGAATAGTATATATGAATTAGACTGACCTGAAAGTTTTAATGGTTCAAACAAGCGTTGACACATGTTGAAAGCAACCTATAGAGTTATTTCCTCTTCTTAAGTTATGTATACAAAACTATCGACAGCAAAGATGAAGCTGTGAAAATCAATAAAGTGGGGAGAGTATCCTTTCGATCACCCATCAAAGAGGGTCTTTCAAAAGCATTACCCAAAACCTGTTATTATGATTTACTGATTTTCTACTATTGAAGAGATTACGGTATCACCTAAAACCGGCTAACGGGACGAAAGTCAGTAACATAACAGCAGGACAAGCTAAATTATTCTAATGCGTCCCAGCCCTGCTAACTAGAAGGAGAAGACCAGATTCAGCCGAGGGAAATATATATTCCACAAGCAGTCAGAAGAACGAACGAACAAGCACACAACTCATGCGCATATATGCCGTACAAAAATGTCCTTATAAAAAGCCACAAAATAGCGTACCAAAAGAGGAAACGAACTAATGACATTTAAGGTCCTCCCAAGTGGGAAATACAAACTGAAGGTAAAAATGGGTGCTTTTGGCAAAAAAAAATGAGAAATCCAAATTTCCAAAAATAAAATTACAAGAATGAGACGTTTATCAAGTGATTTATATGTATATGGCAGTCAGTCAGTCACAAACTAGAACTTCGTACGTATGTACATCAGTTCGATTTGCCAAACCACACTAGCACAGGGATGCAGTTGTCGATTCAAATCCCATAGTGGTAGAAGTAATAATAGTATGAGCAGTGATCGGAAAGATTAGGGTTTGAAGATGTTACTCAAGGAGTATAATCCAGTGAAATAAATTTGGAAAGAGAAAAAGGATAGAGATATGAGGAATTCAGAAAATTAGAATTTGGGAGAACACAAAGAGTGGATTCACCTTCACCATTGCAAGTGATTTTGAGCCACATCTGGCATCCCCAACATGATCATTTAGTTACTGTGTAAAAGCCTTCTGCTAACCGAGCAAATACATAGGATTCACATCTACAACCCATAGATTATATTTACCAGTAGATATGAAACCAATCGTAGTGTTACTTGAGAAGTTGTTGATCTCTGTCGCTGACCATTCTGCACATATACTTCATATACAAATCATTTGAACTTCTATAGCTGTCCTTTATTATCCAGCGAGAGTTTCATTCTTACAAGCTTTCGATTTCCTCATGAATTCTAATTCCATGGGGAATTTCGCACCAACAAAAACCTTTGCTTGAAATCGTAGCAGTCTGATTATTTTTGGTATATATAGGAGATACAGTTGATGACGGTTATTATAGTTTTAATACCGAAAATTCAAAATCACTACTTTTACGGTTCCGAAAGTGGAAATTTTATTAGCCGTCTGAGACTGTGTTTTGTTTTGTGAAAGGTAAATGTGAAGGAATTAGAACGCTTCACACAGTAGGATCCATGATGCTCCCATCAAACGTTTTCGCCATACTATAGAATTGTTCTAATTTGATTTTAAATCAAACACCTAAATCTTTGCTGTCCTCTGTTCACGGTTACCTGTTTCAAAAGTAGAAAAGATCTGATGTAAACTCTTTTTATGATAGTAACTATTTAACCGACAGCGTACTTTCACTTTTATTATATATTTAGAATAATCATGTTAACAGTTCTATTCTGATTGTATCTTACCATTTTCTTTTTTTGTTTATTCATTTACCAGGATTGTCATTACACTATACGTGGTGGCCGATGCATAGATAATGGTTCTAGTAATCGATCATATCAATCTCCAATTATAACACTTCAATTGACGATATCTCCGCCTGAATCGAATTCTAAACCACCACTGCTTAGTATAGGACAAGTTGAAAATTTATTTCATGAATGGGGACATGCATTACATTCTATGCTTGCACGTACACGATATCAACATGTTACTGGGACACGGTAAGTATATATATATATATATATCAGTCACAACATAGAACTTCGTACGTATGTACATCAGTTCGAGTTGCCAAACCACATTAGCACAGAGATGAAGTTGTCGATTCAAATCCCATAGTGGTAGAAGTAATAATAGTATGAGCAGTGATCGGAAAGATTAGGGTTTGAAGATGTTACTCAAGGAGTATAATCCAGTGAAATAAATTTGGAAAGAGAAAAAGGATAGAGATATGAGGAATTCAGAAAATTAGAATTTGGGAGAACACAAAGAGTGGATTCACCTTCACCATCGCAAACGATTTTGAGCCCTGTCATTCAAGGTCTCTTACCATCGGTTGCTATCATCTCGCGAATCCCATACTAAAATATCGCTTCCCGGCTGCCCACACCGTGGAAGGGTATTTCTTGAGGGACCTGAAAAAGAAGTTGGATTAGTGTTGGTCTTAACGACCTGGGAGCGTGACCGCAGAGCCCGAGGGACAACTGCTTGAGGCCAGTCACGCACGGCCTTTCCTTCAAATGACCTTACCACCGGAGACGGAAATCCGTGGGATAAGGCGAGGTATGCATTTTTAGGGTCGACATTTTCTAACCCCACCCCTCCTTGTGGGAAGACAGCATCGCTGTTATGCTGGTTGTCTGAAGGAAACACCTTACTGCCGTTACACCTCTGTATAGTCAGCAGTACGACTTCGCCTTTGGACCTTAGGATTGCTGCTTTTAGTCTTACCGCTCTTCAACCGAGCTGTCTGGCATGGTAGAACCTTAAGGAACGATTGTTCCAGCCAGCATAGCTCGATTGCTTCATCACGATAGGCAAGCCCGACCACCACGTCAAGGTAGCAGCAACGGTCGGGATATATATATATATATATTCTCTTTACAGAATAGCCGTATCTATCCATATTGTTGATGAATTATTCTATCACTTAAATGAACATTGAAAAATCAACTGATGTGGTCGGGACATGTGTTATATATGCCTAACTATCGCTTACCTCGACAGGCAATGCTGTCCGGTGTAGGAATAGACTGATAGAATACGAAGTGGCTTAACCAAAACATGACATCAATCCATAAAGTCATTCATAATTGAACTGAGCTATTTTAACAGATATAGACTCTATGGTTGAAGTTTGGGTGATTATTATAACTAGTGGTTGGAGACTTTGAACAAAATAACTCAAAATCGTTCACAGTGCATTCACTCTTTGTCTCATAACCTGAGTGCCAAGATTTCTTTGTACGTTTTCCCCCCCTATTATTATTGATCCTGTTATTAATTCTACCACTCTATGAATTTTTCCTGAAATAAATCGCTGTATTAATATCATGTGACAATCTGAACTAATGCGCAAATGTGTCTAGTTCTAGATTGTATATGACTAACTGACATTATTTACTTACGCCTGTTACTCCCAATGGAGCATAGGCCACCTACCAGTATTCTCCAACCCACTCTGTCCTGAGCCTTTCTTTCTAATTCTATCCAACTTTTGTTCATTCTCCTCATGTCTGTCTCTATTTTTTTCGGCGTAATGTGTTCTTTGGTCTTCCTCTTCTTCTTTGACCTTTGGAACTCCATGTGAAGGCTTGTCTTGTGACGTGATTGAGTGATTTCCTCAATGTATGTCCTATCCACTTCCAGCGCTTCTTCCTGATTTCTTCCTCCACTGGACGAAATCTGGTTTGTTCTTTCCCACAGTAGAATGTTGCCAATAGTGTCAGACCAACGTATCCGAAGTATCTTGCGTAGACAACTGTTAATAAACACTTGTATCTTCTGGATGATGGCTTTCGTAGTGCTCCAAGGTTCCGCCCCATACAGTAGAACTGTCTTGACATTTGCATTGAAAATTCTGACCTTGGTGTTGGTTGACAGACAGTTGTTTCAAGTTCCAGATGTTCTTCAGTTGTATATATGCTGATCTTCACATCTGCATCAGATCCACTGTGTTCATCAATGATTATAAGATATTTTGTTATTTTCTGTAACTTCTTAGTTGATACGATACATACAAGTACATGGTATTCAATATTTACACTAATCAAATATACTAATTCACTTGGATAACTAATTAATTTTTTTTAAGTTTGACGATTAAACTTTAGATATTTTAGTCACTTCTGTAGATTAATAAGGATTTTTTTATTCGAGATAGATAAATAAAAATTGATTTGATCTATTAGTGTACATAACTAAAATACTCTTAGCTTGGCAATGCGATACTATTGTATTGATATGCAAATTTCGAAAATATTTAAGCTAATAAATCGTTAGGGAAAACACTGATTACTTATCTGGTTTGGTTAGATTTTTAGAATCACTGAAGCTAATCACTGTAATTGACTGAATCGTGTTTAATGAAAGCATTTCACTTTTTTGATTTACCTTGTTTGAATTCGTAGAATCTGGAAGATAGTAATACATTACCGTTGTTAACATGTTCAAGTGTAAATGACAATTGCTTATTTTCAAAGGTTTTTGTATTAGTATTCCATAAAAACAACTCTGTATAAGTCTGCTTTTACATGGTAAAACTTAAAAAAACAAGCAGAAATGAATGGTGGCCAGTAGTGAAATCCAAGACATACGTTTCTTTCCATTTGGGACACTTCAACTGCGTGTACCTGCATCTCAGAGTTGATATCCACTCTAGGACTCGAGTCCAGTACCGTTGTAGTGAACGGAACACAATCGCATGTATTTAAGCATAAATTACAAATTATCTCACTAAAATTTGATAACCATACAGTAAATAGTTAATTTGCAAATTGTCAATCAGTTGACTCAATCTTGACCATCCCTTCTGTAAATATCAGTTCATTGTCTCCGATTATTATTGTCCATGCATTTTCATACCAATTGAGCTTCGTTCCCGTTCTTTTCTCATCGATCTTCTACTGAAATACTTTCAATGCCCGACCATCGTAATATGCTACTTATGTGAATATAAGTAACCGACACCACACCGTTCGCATATATCCACATATGCCAAAAAAAGACTGGTCAAATATAGTCCTAAACATCAATGGCAATACTCAAACCACTGATACAAATGAATCTAAAAAAGAATAGATTATAAAATTTGACCAATCAGCATTTAATTCTCTGGATCATTATCAAACACAGATTACATTAAGAACACATCAATGGATTATAATACGATACATTTGTGTTAAATCAGTAGGTAAACTCAAGATACTTTCACATTACTCCATAAATCTGTGTTGTTTCATTTGTACTACTTAAATTTACAACAATTAACAACGATCCTCATTAGTTATGTGATGGATCAAGCATTACTATGTGCTAAGTTTTCCACAAAACTCATACACGTGGAATTTCTCGTGTTTCAACGAGTGCATCATTTTCATGTTTCGTAAATAATTTTGTCAGCGATTCAGGATTAAATGAAATTAATATCACATTTTCACTAAAATAAATATTTAATCAAAAAAAGTAAGCGAACTTTATCATTCTGACAATCTTATTGAAATAATAATTGTAATATGCTAATTAATCAAATAGTTATTCCACATTCATTGTTATTATTATTATTATATTAAAGGTGTAGTACTGATCTAGCTGAATTACCATCAACTTTATTTGAACACTTTGCGTTAGATCCACGTGTAGTATCAGAATATGCTCGACATTGGAAAACAGGTCAGAAACCAGATCCTAATGAAATAATTTCATTACAACAATTATCTATTGGTCTAGGACTTGGTCAAAGTTTAGAAGTTAGTCAACAGGTATGCACATGTAATATATATTTATATATGTAGTATACTTGGTTTGAATATTTTATGACCCACAACATCCGATTTACACATGCAGATGATTTCGATATGCTTAAGCAAGCGGGTATACTAGTGAGAAGATTTAGAAATGACTAGGAAGTCGTAATTGATATATATATATATATATATTTAAGGACAAAAGCTTGACATATCCATGCCCGACCAACGTGGTTGAATTCTATCATTTCTCACTTGAACTTCAGGAATTAATCCGAACTTGAAATGTCCTGTCAGGATTATAAGACATAATTAAAGTCGTTTTTTCTGAAGATTATGAACTTCAGTAACAGCTACTTATTATTTCGCCATAGTTGATCTATTTGCTATGTAAATAAAGCGATTTAGAGTTAATCCATATGCAAGGATAGGGTTTTTGTGTTTCTTTCCATGATTTATAGCTGAATGATGCTTTTCATTATCAAATTGTACTAGATGTGTATCAACAATAAAAAAAGACGTATTAATGGGTATTTAATAATGTAGAAAATGAGTATACCACACATTTAACAAATAGAATATACATATCAAATCTTCATGAATACTAATTGTGGAAATTACAATTTTATTGAAAAGACAGTCTATTTTCATAAATTTACCATTAATATTAAAGATTAAGAGTTGAACGAGAACAGATAAGTATTCTGAAATATAGATTATGTATGATGTAGGCGTAATTTCGGTGCAATATACGCTCTGTGTAAAGCCCTATCTCCCATAAACTAACTTCCATGTGTTTTTATATGCCGCAGAAAAAGAACTAAATAACTGTTGTCAAGTAGTGTTCAACAGTGGAGTAACACTATAGACAAACGGCTGAATATGATGAAACACACGGCCATTTTTGTATTTTTTTATTTAACTTTTTTTAATCCCTTTCGAAAAAATTTTCATCCCATTTTCCAATTTTTTTTATTCTATTTCGTCCAATCAAATGGCTAGTTTTCAATCCGTTATAATTGGTTATTTATTTCATGAAATTGATATAAAATGTCAGTACCTGTCGACAGAGCACATTTTCTTCACATTATGGACGATAGTAACGCACAAAGTACAAGCTCTGCCGTTTCTCACGTTACGGAAACAGATAACACATTCTTGGATATATTGTATCTGGTAGCGCTCCAATCACTTGTGATTATCGCTCACTTATTAGTAAAACTTTTTAAAGGTGTATAAAATGTCTCTATCATCTAATGAATACTCAACTGGTGAACAGGTGATCTTGTAAATTTTGTAGGACATAGCAGATGTCACCATATACCATTACACTAGGAAAGGAGTAAAGGTAGATGGACGTGGATTAGTTTTAAATGGAAATGAGGTTGACAATTAAGTAGAAAACAGAGTTTTTATATTGTAATACGTACAGACAAACTCACAGCAATCTGTGGGTGAGCACAAAATATAAAAATAATTCTTGTGTGTTATCTAAATAACAATATTGTTCGCTGAAGGGTCTTTTTGAAATTCCACGATCCCTTTTTTCAAATTGTTTACTAAATGAAGCATAGAAAGATTAACATTTTATAACTAAATCAGTCAGTTTTTAGTAACAGTCGAATTTCTTTCATGTATACAATTCTTCAGGCTACCTATGCTATTCTGGATCAAGTTTTGCACTCAGGTCCTATTGAAAATACTTTACTGCCTTATGCAAAATTAACTCAAGAATCAAATGAATTATGGCCTGCATCTTCTAAATTATTATCAGATATTCAATATAAAGTTGGACTATCTGATTGGTTTAGTTGTTCACCAGCTCATCTAGGCGCATGGCCTCATCGTTTTACTCATTTAGTCAATTACGGTGGACGCTATTATGCTTATTTAATGGCAAAAGCTGGAGCTAATCTTGTTTGGAGGCGTTATTTTTCCAAAGATCCTTGGTGTTCCTCAAGTGGACAGGTAAATTTCTGTGAATTATTTAATTTGACAAATTTCGACCTCAATCTTGTATCATTTGACCAAACCAAGAACAATGAATGTAACAGAATATTATGAGTTCACCATATTTCGCGGTTTTATTACCAGCTACTAACGAACTCTAAATATAGTAGTACCAATCGCCGCATCACAGACTTAGGAATTATTATGAATAGAACTGTTTACTGAATATTAAAAAGTAGTATAAAGCAATACACAGAAAACAAGTTGAATGAGGAGAAAATAGGAACAGAAAATGCAAACGAACTTCACAGTATGTAGGTTGATTTTGAATGGTCAATACTATTACGTTTAGAATTTGTAATTAGCTGATAAGAAATCGCAAAGTATAATGAAATCGTATTATTCTGTTACGTTCATTGTTCTTATTTTAGTCAAAACTATAGATGGGAACTGTATGAAATTTTTGTATCAGTTATAAATGCATCTATTAATTTTTTTGTCAAAAGCATATATTATATCATTTCACTTATATACATGCATCAGTTTTTTTTAAACCTTCCAAAAGTATTAAAGTTAGGATGTTACTCTATTTTCACATTGATTTGTATCCGTTTGGTGTTAGGTGTTCAGCGAGAGGAGCGTAACTGAGACAGCTTTCCGAACCACATTTAAATCGCAGTAAATAAAAGCTCTACTAGCCTTAATACTATCCTGGTTAAATCAGTTTCGTACAAAGTAGTTTCTTCTCTGTTCTTTTCTTTTTTCCCGTCACAGCATACTACTCATGTATGTCATCACCTATGATTTAGGAATATGTAACTCATTAAAATTCTCTATTTTAATACACTGTATATTTATGCGATATTTTAATCTATTTCCTTCATTCTCGCAATATCTCGTTCTCTCTCCTGGTTTATTTTTATCTTTAATCCCTTTTGTCTGTGTTCTTTGTTGAATGTTTGTTTATTCAGAACATTTTATCCATTATAAATGCATAGTTCTCAATTCATCCTCGCTACTGATTAGTATATGTTTGGCAAAGTTAAAATACTTTATTTGTTTACAGTATTAAATACACTCAAATAGTTATTCTTCTAAACATTGATTTTTTGCCTTTTCTTGTTTGTATATTAATTTTAATTGAATGTAATAGCCTGCTAATCAGATGATCTTTTAATCACTGGGACATAATTTTATATAAGTCTTAGATGTTGATAGAAAAGGGAATCAATCCATTAATCTTCATCATTACTGGTATGTGTAAAGGTTTTAGTTAAACTGCGTCTGCATCATAACAGCATGACTCGGAACATCGATTCCCTCAATACCTCAGATATGTCTTGTTGATGAATTCCAAAAGACATGAAACTGAGGTCCAGGTTTTTCTACTAACTACTTCCAATCACTTAACATCTTAACACAATGCTTCACTCACGAGTCACTTAGATTAGAACCACATTACAACTTGGTCACTAAAATTCGTCACTATAAAGAACAAAACACACATGGCATTAGCGAACACATAAGGATCAGTCGGTTATAGCTTTACATCCATTTGTATTGCTAGACAACTGTTGGGGATGTTAAATCCCCAGAACTTACTTGGTAAATGGCTTAATCTTGTAATTTTATTCTGAAAATTTGAATTTAGCTGTTTTCGCGCCAAAAGCGCTCTTTTACCTTCACGCCATATTTCCCACTTGTAAACTATCTTAAACGCTATTGGTCCATTGTTTCTTTGTGTGTGCTATTTACTAATAATGCTCAAGGACAATTTGTTGCTGTATAAATGCGCTTGACTTTTTTCCTCATTCGATTGCTTGTACTCGGCTGCTTACGGAATACATATATATTCCCCTACTTGCCTTGGACTTCTTCATCTAGTTAGCGGGGCCTGGGACAACAGATTAGAATAGCTTATCGTGTCATTGTGTCATTGGCTTTCGTTCGTTACCGCGGAATCGATTAGTTCAAGCATAACAACAACGTAGTTAATTGAAAATTCTTCCTAGATATTTAGTGTGATGTCGCATAACTAAATAAGTAGTTGCGGTGAAGTTTTACACTTTTCATTTCGAGTTGAAAATACTTCAAGTGTTTTTGTTAGATTTACTTGTCTCCATTCACTGTACATATCTAATTAAAGTTTAAAAAAACTATTCAGCTTGGTTTAATGTTGTTTAGGATCACATAGGTCTCTGTCTGTAAATCACTTTTGATTAATGTAATAGGTAGGTTTTAGCTACTTATGTAATTCAGTAGTACACTTCAAAAACAATAAGATCTGTATGTTCAATTCTGTCCTATTAATACCTTGTATTCTTTTTCACATTTTTCATTCTAGCTTTATATGGAAAAATTATTATGTCATGGTGGTGAGTATCCTCCAGCTATTCTACTTTCTGACCTTCTGGATTGTGACGACGAAATCAGCAGTCAAAATGTGTTATTATCTCCTAAAATGTTAGCTGAAGGTTTAACAGATCAGTTGGAAGAAATAGAACTGGCTTCAACTTCTTTACTGAACCGTATTGAATCGCCGAGTTTATTCAGACCAGGATCTTACGATTAATAACAAGAAAGAAGAGAGCTTATTAATTTTGACATATTTTGTTGTTGATGATGATTTGTAAATACACCAGCTAATTATTTCTCTAAATGCTTTGTTGGTCTCCTCAAATAACTTAAAACACACAACAAACAGAAGCTTTTATTTTCATATGGCGTAATTCACTTCTCGCACCCTGACTATATCATTTCGAACAATGAACGTGAATAACTCCGTTCTTTCCTGTGTCACTCACTTAATTAAGCCTCTTACCCCTCTTGAAGCATAGGCGGTCGATAAGTAATCTCGAATCTACTTTGTCCTAGGCTCTCCTTTCCATTTGTTGCCAAGTCTTATTCATTCTTGTGATGTCTGCTTCCCGTTTCCAGCACAGTGTGTTTCTTGATTTGCCTTTTTTTTACCTTGAGAATTCCGTGTTAGAGCATGCTTTGTGATGTAGTTTAATGATCTCCTCAGCATGTCTTATTTCACCTTCAGGATCTTCTTCTGATTTCCTCTTCAACGAGGAGTTGAGTTGTTCTCTGCCACAGCAGGTTGTTTCTGATGGTGACTTGCCAACAGACATTGAGTATCTTGCGTAAAGGCAACTGCTTATAAATGCTTGTACCTTGTTGATGATGATGGTTGTGGTATTCTTGCAAGTTTCGGCTCTGCACAACAAAACGGCATTGGTGTTTGTATTGAAGATCCTGACTTTGTTGTTGTTTGACAGCTGTTTTGAGTTTCATATGTTCTTTAATTGTAAGAATGCTACCCTTACTTCCCCAATCCGTGCCTTTTTTGTGCTCTGTTGATCTGACTTTAACTTGATTGAACGATGATTTTAACGGAATGTGCATCCTGGCTACCGTTGTATATAATTATCGACTTAATTCGCCTTACAAAATAACAATAAATACGTTACGTATATTTTATTCACTGGTTGATCCAAACAGACAATCAAAGAAACGAAGCGGAGAAGGCACACGTGCAACTCCATTTGATCAAGATTGACTCGATATTTATAACCAGAAAGAAATAAGCTCTAGACGTGCGATGAATAGTGTAAGCAATACTCACACACGCTCATATAAAAACAGCGAAGGTTAGTAAGCGAGTAGTTGAAAAAATCAAAATATGACTTAAGGTGAATAAATAAGTTGGTCTTTCCGGAAACTAGAATAACCTACCGGAGGTTGACGCAGCACCAAACACTACACTTTCACATCTGCACCAGATCCTCATCGTTTATCGGTCATATTTCCACAACTTTTACAGTATAAAATACGATTGGTTTGGTACTCTGTTATATTTTAGAGTCTTGCTTTTTCCCTTGTGTATGTTGAGGCCTACTTCTGCTACACTGATCTTTATCTGTATTTGTTGGTGAGTATATGATAGAAGAGTTAGGTCATCTGCGAAGTCCAAATCGTCTAGCTGCATTCAAGTTATCCATTTTATTCCATGCTTCCCCTCAGATGTCGAGATCTTCATAATCCAATCAACCACCGGGAGAAATAGAAAGGAGGAGAGTAAGCAGCCTTGTCTGGCACTGATCTTCATTTAGCCTGCATCTGTCTGTTGTCCTCCATACACTGCTTTACAGTGTAGTCTGTAGTATGAATTCCGGATAATGTTGACAATCTCCTCGGGAACTCCATAGTGTCGAAGAAGTTTCCATAATGTTCTCCTATCCTCCCTGTCAAACACCTTTTCATAGTCAATAAAGTTGACGTATATTGATGAGTTCCACTCAACTTGTTGTTCCATGATGATCCCTAGTGTCGCAATTCGGTCTGTGCACGACCGATCCTTACGGAATCCAGCCTGTTGATCTCGAAGTTGGGCGTCTACTGCGTCTTTCATCCGGTTCAGCAACATTCTGTTGAGAACTTTTCCTGGTACTGACAACAGTGTGGTGCCTCTGTAGTTATCACACGTATTGAGATCTCCTTTCTTTTGTGTCTTGGTGAGGTATCCTACTTTCCAGCCCGTCGCCACTTGCTCTTCCTCTCAAATCTTCTTAAATAGAAGGTGAAACATGTTTACAGTTACTTCAATATCTGACTTTAGTGCTCCGACTGGCATATTGTCAGGTCTTGCTGCTTTCCTACTCTTGATTTGTCCGATGTCCAATCTGATTTTTTCGATCATTGGTGGAGTGACATCTATAGGAATGTGTGTGTGCTGCTTCATTTTTCGGTGGATTCAATGGGGCTGGTCTATTCAAGAGTTCTTCAAAGTGTTCTACCCATCTTTTCCTCTCTTCTTGAATCTCCGTGATTGTCTTGCCTTCTTTGTGCTTGACTGGTCTCTCTGGTTTACTATATTTCCCTGCTAGTTTCTTTATTGTATCACATAGTCTTTTCATATTCCCTTCTCTTGCAGATTTTTCCACCGTTTTTGCTAGTTCTCCCATTTATTTCTGCTTGTCGGCTTCAATGCTCGTCTTCACTTGCTTGTTTGCTTCTGTGTACTCTACTTGTGCCTTGACTTTCTCTGATCATGTTTGACTGTTGTTAATTGCTGTCTTCTTGCTCTTCCTTTCTTGAATCTTGTCCAGGTTTCCGGTAGAGATCCATTCCTAATGATGATGCTTGTTGTAACCCAGAACCTCCTGACATGTTGGAGTTAATGCTTCTTTGATACCTTTCCAGTTGTCCTCCATAGTAGTTTTTTGTTCTTTCAGTAGATCTTGTAAGACGTGGAACCTATTGTTGAGAGTTATCTTTTTCGTCTAAAGCATGTTGGGTTGCAAAGTCTCAATGTAATTTGGGCGAAATCAGATATATCTCGGCCTAAACTCATATATGCCGTCTTGGTAGTACATAGTATTGATCATGATGGAAGTCATGGCTTACTATGATTCTAATTATCAGTAGACGTTAGCGAGATACTATGACTGAATACACAATTAGCTTTAAAAATAGTTTCTGTTTAATATTATTATATATTATATCTCCTGTTTTCTATACTACAAATGCGTTTCACACAATCTGATAACCACAGGCATGAATAGTCGGTTCAAGTTTTTGCAAATCTATTATTTTAAGTGGCTGTACCATGAGGAACACTCCGTTATTAAAATTAATTTCAAGAATTGAAATTGTACAACTGTTCTTAACGTTGAAGGACTCAATTACACTCAACTAATCAAACAGTATTCTAAATAATTTACTATTAACTATATGATTATTCTTGCAGATAATGAAGTTCGCACTTAGACACATATAAAGTCTTTCCCTCAGGAAATGGATAACAGTTAGTAATCTCGTATTATTTAACTGTATAGTGGACACGCTCGAGAACTCACTGCGACATAAAGCCTGGAAATGACCGTATATAACTCAGACTACTTGTTATTAAAGAGTAGTATTCCGTGAAACAAAAAAGATGGAGCGCAGAGGAATCTCGTCACTTGGGTTTACGTTTTGTTCTTCATTGAAAAGCTAATGTTAAGATATTGGTCAGTTTGAAAGTAATTTTTATCGCGAAACGACTCGGACTGAATAGTCATTGAAATAGTTTAAAAACTCTAGATGGCTGTTTCTACTTCGTTTTGAGATTGTTCAGTACAAATATAAGATGACAATTAGGATCAAACCCATGACCTTAGAAGTCCTCTCCTCAATGATCCCTCGTCTAAACGACTTTTTATCATACCAGTTATTTGTTTAAGTAGGATTTAGTCGACGTGCTCAAAATAGAATAAATGTGCAGGAGAAAATGAGTCCAAACCAGTTCCTCTTAAAGATTACTGCTCGCATTCATTTATCCAGAAAGCTATGACACCAGGTTACATGTCTGTTTTGTCATAACTGAGGGATATACTGTTATTAGCTTTTTAAAGTGGTAAGATCGTGCTCGTCAGGCAAGGTAATGGAAAACTACCGTTTGTCAAATTCAACATAGCCCTCAGCAACAGGTTCGAGGCCTTTCATGACCTACTCAATGGAGAGGGGACTGCCATGGAGAGCAACTGGAAAGGTATCAAGGAGGCAATCGTTTCAACGTGTCAAGAGGTTCTGGGCCAAAAGAAGCACCATCACAAGGAATGGATCACTGTTGGTACACTGGATAAGATTGAAGCAAGGAGGAACAAGAAGGCAGCAATCAATATCAGCCGAACAAGAGCGGAAAAAGCCAAGGCACAAGCCGAATACACAGAGGCAAACAAGCAAGTGAAGAGGAGCATCAGAACCGACAAACGTAAATAAGTTGAAGATTTAGCAACGATAGCGGAAAAGGCTGCAAGAGAAGGAAACATGAGACAACTGTATGATACAACAAAGAAACTTGCTGGAAATTACCGTCAACCAGAAAGACCAGTGAAAAGCAAGGAAGGCGAAGTAATCACCGACATTGAAGAACAACGAAACAGGTGGGTAGAACACTTCAAAGAACTCTTGAATCGACCAGCTCCACTGAACCCACCCAACATCGAAGCAGCACCCACGGACCTCCCAATCGATATTGGCCCACCAACAATTGAAGAGATCAGCATGGCCATTAGACAAATCAAGAGTGGCAAAGCAGCGGGATCAGACAACATCCCGGCAGAGGCACTGAAAGCAAATGTACCGGCAACTGCCAAGATACTCCACATCCTCTTCAGTAAGATTTCGGACGGAGAACAAGTACCAAAAGACTGGAAAAAAGGACTTCTGATCAAGATACCAAAGAAAGGCGATCTCAGCAAGTGTGACAACTACAGGGGCATCACTCTCCTCTCAATACCAGGAAAAGTCTTCAACCGAGTATTGTTAAACAGGATGAAGGATTCAGTGGACGCCCAACTTCGAGATCAACAAGCTGGATTTCGTAAGGATAGATCGTGCACAGATCAAATCGCAACTCTGCGGATCATTGTGGAACAATCAATCGAATGGTATTCATCACTCTACATCAACTTCATCGACTACGAGAAGGCATTTGATAGCGTGGACAGGACGACACTATGGAAGCTTCTTCAACACTACGGTTTGCCTGAGAAGATAGTAAATATCATACGGAACTCCTATGATGGACTAAACTGCCAAATCGTCAACGGAGGACAACTCACCGACTCGTTCGAGGTAAAGACCGGTGTTAGGCAAGGTTGCCTACTCTCACCCTTTCTCTTTCTCCTGGTGATCGAC